TTTATTTAAACACATAAACATTACTACAAAGAGGCACCAAACAGATATGCGCCACACAAATCTCATTCGATTTGTGTGAGGGCTGGGATACTGCCCGGGTGGTTTTCTCAGGGGGCCACACCTGGAGCCTTTTACCCGGAGGTCTAATCCACAAGGCAGTGGAGCAACGTTAGGAGATGCAGTCCCATGGTCGCCGGTCACTAATAATAGGTTCGTACGCCATTTGTTCTTTTAGGATTCTGGAGCCCATGTTTACCATTGGTTTGGAATCAGGGAGAGCGGACTCTCCCCACTCTCGGCCATATCAGGGCATTTGAGGGCTTTACCAATAAATCATCCAGCTCAGTGTATATAATTTCAATAAGACGATCTTTAATGAGTTGTAATGTTTAATAGTTTCAATAAATAGTAATTATTCTGTGAACTATATCAAACAATCGTATAACTCAGTCATCTTAACATTATGATTTATGAATATTAAATTAAAATCTGCAAACTGTAGATAACATCCATTTGATGTTCAATAAATTGACACTTGATTAAGGTTTCATTATTTTACAGTTGATTTTCATCAATAAACAAAAAAATTTCAATGGTTGAGATCATGAGTCAATTGAAGCTAGACCACCATGGAAATCCTGGAAGCATTGGACGATCTTTTCGTCTTATTGTGGCTCTCTATAATATCCACAAAACCCTTCTGATATGAAAAAATAATTGTTCTGTAGTAAATCTCTAAGAAAATTTGATAACAATATTCGTTTCTTAGTAGATAATCATCAATTAATTGATTAATTGTACATACACATATCGTTTATGTTTATTATTTAATAGTTGAATCAGTCTAATATTTAAATATAATTTGTTTTCACTAATCAATATTATGTAATCATTTTAGATTGATTAATATATACTAATAAAAGATTGATCAATTTCATATCTAAAGATCAATGTGAAAATTCAAGTAACCAAGTAACAAAAAAAAATGAATTAAAATTTCACTTCATTTCATAAACTATTGTTTATCTAAACTTAATAATTAAGTGAATAGATAGTACGATAATATTTGAAATGAATATTATAGGGTTCGAATCTTGAAGTGAACATCAACTCTGAAATGTAACTACATCTAGCTGATGAATTTCAAATAAGATGAAACACATATTCTGGATTCCATGGTTAGCCATCATCATCACAATTTATTATATTATGATTGTTTTGTTTTTCTTGTTGTTTAACTATATTACTATTTAAGTAATATAATGATTGTATTAATTTATTGAGAATAATCAATAAAATTTTCACATTTTTTTAATTTGTAAAACATTAAACAGTCTTATTAATAATTAATCAATAATTCAATATTAAGCTTAATAACATTGATTATGATTTTTCTCTCTCTCTCTCTCTTTCTTAACTAAGTAGTTTCATGTTCATTCATTCATTTATTATTATTTTTTCAAAAAAATTTATTTATTTATTTGTGCACTCATATGATGGATACAAAGACAAAAGAGAGAGAGAGAGATGGGGGGGAGAAGGACAGAGACATAGATAGAGATAGAAATAATGGGTTTGTAAACTTGTATTGTACATCATTGAATTAGATACAATAATGTAATAATAATTATATTATATTTCTAAAAATAATAATTACAGAATTCATAGCAGGTCCTTTTTTTATAAAGGCATAATCAACTTAATAATCTACATAGTAACAATTCATGTAGTTAGGACAGATATGTGATGATATGGGGCTGTTTTTTCTTTCTTAGAATAAAATAAAGTTTTCTCGTTTAGCGAACTGTCTTTTTCTTCTTTTTTAAAGGTATAAATCTGTATTAAAAATACAAAAGAACAATGATTATTAGCAAAGATGCATAGTGACTAGCAGTAGAATCCAGAACGCGCGTTTCGTCCTATTTGGGACTCGTCAGCTGGATATGCCCGCTGACGAGTCCCAGATAGGACGAAACGCGCGTCCTGGATTCCACTTCTAGCCACTATCCATCTTTGTTTATAATGCTTGTAAAAAAATTAAGGCAATATCAAGGCAATACGCACAGTATGCACATATGCCAATATGAGAGATTGATCAATTGCAGTCCTAAACATCAATGGGACGATTCAAGTAAAACAATATCAATTGAATCAAACTTCACCCCATTGAACAAGCAAGTGGCTATCAGGACTCTGTAGCTAAGTTGATAACGCGATGGCGTTTCAAGCGGACGGTACTTGGTTCGAGTCCCAGAGTGAACATCAACTCTGAGATGCAGATACATTCAGATGACGAGTCCCAAATAAGACGAAAAGCGTGTGTTGGATTCCACTGCTAGCCACTATCCATCTTTGCTTATAAACTATTTATAGATAATATGTAAATAATAATAGTAAATACTTGTTAAATTAAATAAAATTGTTAATTTGGGGTTATTGGACATTGTTGAATTTCATTGAAATTTTGAACCGATTAACTGAAGATCTTGAGTTCGAATCCCGCTAGTGAGATCGTGGATGTGTACTACTGAGGAGTCGCCTAATAGGATGAAACAGCCATTCAGTGTTTCTAGATTTTCAATGGTGACCTAATATTATTCGATTCATGATTTTAATCAAAAATTTAACAATCTCCACAACTCTCTATACTAATCATATTATTAAATTTGTTTAATAAAATAATATAAAAATTGTTTCACGTCATAAAGTGTGATTCGTCAATATCACGTTAAATGTGTACGTCAGTAGTTACTGTCTGTAGTGCATTGAACAACGTGATTATGATTCTATCTTACTTACGCCTGTTACTCCTGGTGAAGGAGCATAGGCCACTCACCAGCATTCTCCATCCAACCCTGCCCTGGGCAATCCTTTCCAGTTGTTATTCATCATTCTCATATCTGCTATGTACATATTGAATATATATCGAAAAGTGGATAAAAGTTTCACTTAATAATATGAAATATATATATTCATAGATTTCTATCAGAAAGTGATTTTATGGAGATTATAGTAATTTAATAATTGAGTTCATGAGTCAATTGAAGCTAGATCATCTTGGAAAAACCTGGAAGTACTCAACGACCGTTTCGTCTTAGTATGGGACTTCTTAGTAGTAGGCAACCACGATTTTTAGCAAACTTTACGTATTCTTTTCAAAGTTTTAGCTATGACAAATCGTAATAAATTGTTATATTATATTTAAAAACTTTAGTACAAACTAAATATTGCAAGTAGTATTGTATTTAAACTTATTACAAGTGATCTCCTTTTAATATTTTCTATCCGACGATTTCCCGCCTTCGTGATTAACAATAAATACTAGAATATTTGAAAATAACCATTCACTGCACAATTCGGGAGTAGGTTTGATTGAATCGGGATAATTAAGGTATACTTTTTGTGTTCTAATGAACAGTGGTGTATAAAACATTACACACCTTTTTTCAATAATATGTAGTTGTAAATAGTCGTGCACATCTACGTGAAGCGACATACTAAGCATGTAATTAGTCATTTCTTAGAGTTTATACTTTTCTAAATTATGATTTCACTTGTTCGTATAAGCTTCTCAGTGAAATCTATCTCCAGTCGGGTAGATCAATTATTCGCCTCTTCCAATAGTGGGACTTTCAAACATTTGAACGTGTAGTATAGCTTTATTAGTCAAAATGAACTAGTCTAAATTTCAGTTTCAGTTAATTTCTGTTTGATACTGCAGATTTAGAATCTTTTATTTTCTAAGTGAGACGCCCAGTTTCTCTACTTCAAGCATTCTAACCAATGAATAAATCATGGAATTATTCGACTTATAAATCTGTACTGTATGAATAGATTACTGGTAGATGCAACGTCATGAAGACATTTCAAGTAATGATTTGGTATAGTGAGTAATGAAGACTTACCGAACCTTATCTGGCCGATAAGTTTATCCCAGTTACATATGGGTCTACAGCAATGTCGAGAACCTATTATTTGTTTTTGGAGACTGTTGACTAATATATGTCCAATGGTATTTAAAGATCCAAATAGGATAACTTCTAATTGCTTAGAAAACAAAGTACATAGTTTTTCCTGATCACAGAATTTTAAATTATGATTGAACATAAAAAGCTTTAGTCCAAATATCATTTGGAAAAATTCATTTAAATGATCAGTTGTCCAAATTTCTTAGATGTGGTATCTATAACTAAGTGCTTATAATTTCACGGCAGAAAATCTGAAAAGTACAGTAAATAAATTGTTTACTCAGTAACTCATCGATTCATAGCATTTCTTCCCAGTCCTTAAGCATCTGGGTATTATAAGTTAACAAGCTAATATCTTGTTAGATCAATTCCTAGAAAATACAACAATGAGAGCGTTGTTTCTGAAAGTATGTCTATGACAAAGATGGGGAAAGTAGACGACAGTGACGAAGACCGACTTAAGCTATCAATTCTGTTGACTTCCCCACAAGCTCTGACTCGCAAAGTAGTGTTAGAGTAAAGAGCCTTCACAGAATTAATATTCTTATTTGGTACGTCTCCCAGTGACAGAACCTCACAATCAACTGAGTTGAATGCCGCCTTAAGATCAAGGAATACAACTATAGTCGGACGTCGGAAAATATGTTTATATGTATGCATATGTTTCAGAATCTGCCGAAGCGTGCATGTTTGGTCTATGCACATACGTCCAGGTCCAAAACTATCCTGCTTTTATAGAGTTTGCTCTTCACGAGCTCTAGCTGGACGTATTATTGAAGCCAATGTTTTAGACAATATATCAGTTAAACTGATTCCTCTGTAATTTTCACTAGATGACTTTTGTCGTTCCTCATAGTTTGAAACGATCAGCAATCGAGACCAGTCAGATGGGATTACGTCCAAATCCCAGATTTCAGTAAATCTAACCGCTGAAACTGGCCCAACATCCTTAAAAATCTCCGGGACTAGTCTATCAATTCCTAATGTCCTCCATCACTTTGCATTTCTTATAGCTTTTTGAACCTTACTAAGAGTTGGAGTACTTATATCAAGTTAAGTGCCTGTCTTCAGACTTAAAGGACCTAGGTGTGATCTCCGGTAACTAGGTCATGGGTATGTACTGCTACAAAGCCCTATACTAGGATGAAACAACTGTCTGTTTCTTTCGGAATTTTAATAGTTCTTTAACTAATTCATAGGATAAACTATGAAATTCAACAGTATCTACAAACCGCCCCCCCCCTCAAACTAACATCATAAAAATGACTAGTCGCTTTACACAAACATTAATGTAATAACTAGAAACAATTGAAAAAATAATTTATTTATGAGATACCTAGAAAATGTAAATGCCACAATATAAAAATCTTTCAATAATAATAAAATGCAATGAATAAATGGATGAATTATGTTAAAATGATAAAGGGTGATTAGAAAAAAAAAGAACAATAGTTCTAGAAAGAAAAAATAATTAATCTAATTTAGTCCAATCAATTGGTTTAATGCCATGTTGTTTTAAATATTCATTTGCTTTTTCAAAATGTCCACAACCAAAAAATCCACGACTAGCTGATAAAGGTGATGGATGCGGTGCATTAAGCACTAAATGACGTTTACGATCAACTGACTGGCCTTGTTTTTGAGCACTTGCACCCCAAAGCATAAAAACTAAATTCTATAAATAACATTATCATAAGAATAGAAAATTAAAAACAAATTATTATGTTGTTTAAATAGTATGGAAATAGTCATAGAAGTATGTGAATAAATCATTTTAATTTGATGAATTTTACCTCTTCTTACTTGTATAATTAGTTGGTTGTCCCCACCTGTGTTCTCGTTCACTACATTTGGTGTCGCTGCCAACCAGTAGGTGGAGAGGGTGTTGTTCTATGGACGCCGTTGTGGGGCCTTGAGATGAGATGCTAGTTGAGACAGTCTGGTACGGAAAAGTGACGTCGAGTGGACTGTCCTGGCAGCAACACCAAATATAGTGAACGAGAACATAGGCGGGGACAACCAAATGTATTTGAACACAATAGTTTTCAGTGAATATCATAATTTTCATTATCATTATCAGTAGTCGATAAGTTCGTGTATCTAGGTATCTGCATAAGTGCTGGTGGTGGCGTGAGTGATGAGATCAATGCACGTATAGTGAAAGCCAGAGCAGCTTATGCCAATCTGGGCCATCTTTGGCGCCTTCGTGATGTTAGTCTGGCTGTAAAAGGTCGGATCTACAACGCAACGGTGAGAGCAGTTCTGCTCTATGCTTGTCAAACCTGGCCTCTCCGAGCTGAGGATGTTAGACGACTCTCTGTGTTCGATCATCGTTGTCTCCGAAGGATTGCTGACATTCAGTGGCAACACCATGTTAGCAATGCAGAGGTTCGGCATCGTGTGTTCGGACACAGAGACGATAATTCCATTGGTGTCACCATCATGAAACACCGACTTCGGTGGCTTGGACATGTTCTAAGAATGTCGTCCCAGAGAATTCCTCGTCGTGCATTATTTGCCGACTCTGGGACTGGTTGGAAAAAGCGGAGAGATGGTCAGTATATGACATGGTGTCGTGGTATGAAAGAAAGCTGCAAAGGGCTAGCTTCTGTTGGTCCTTCACGACTCCGTGGCTGGGGTCCGAGAGACGGTGTAACACAGTGGCTAGAGACGTTATCAGATATGGCTTAGAATAGAAGCAAGTGGCGATCCTGTTGTAACCTTCTTTTACATTCTTCATAAAAAGTGGTTGCTTCTTCCTTAACTGAAAGATTTCTCCCGATTGTGACTTTTCGTTTCCCCCATTTTTGTCCTTTTTTTAATATAGATATTCCCTACGTTCCTTACCTTTCTTCTTCCCTTCTCTTTAAATTCTCATTGTTTTGTGTGGCGCATATATATTTGGTGCCCCTCTGTACCAATATTTATGCGTTTAAATAAAATAAAAATAATAATTTGAACACAAAATTACAGAATATCTTTGTAAAATCTGAGAATCCTTGGCAAAATGTCAAAAAATTGTCTCAGACTTGATTGTTTGTTCGTTTTCACACCAATCATTCTCTGCTCTCGTTCTCTTTCCTTCGATCTTAACCTTCTGTCACCAGGCATTTTACTTTCGTTTAATGATACATACTACTTATATCTGTGGACATCAGTAGTAGAAAATCAACGAGTAGTGAACAATTGTTTACTTTTGGGCAATAATTCAATCCTACAGTGTACAAATATTTCAAAAAAAGTAGTTAATATACATGATCTTACATTTCGATTTTTATTTAAATAACGAATAGCAGCATCTGTTAGAAATTCCCATCCTTTATCTTTGTGAGAATTAGGTTGTGAAGAGCGAACAGTCAGTACAGCATTCAACAGTAATACACCTTGTTTAGCCCATCCAGTTAAATCACCATGTTTTGGTGGCCAGTTACCATTAGAATTTGTCAAATTCATACTTGAACTAATTTCTTTGTACATGTTGATAAGGCTTGGTGGTGCTGGTACTGGTCGACATACAGAGAATGCTAAACCATGTGCTTGTCTTGGTCCATGATATGGATCTTGTCCTAGGATTACAACATGTATATCTGTTGGTAAGCATAATTTAGTCCATGAGAAAATCTGAGCAAAATCAAATCAATAATTTAATTAGTTAGTGTATTTCAAATAAAAAATAAAAAAAAACGGCAATTTTAATGAACACACCTGTAAGTAATCCATGTAAGATTATGTTTCAGCTTAGTATATAGTTTAACAATTGGTGTAGGAGTAAGTTGGAAGAAACCTGTGGGCAGACAAACTATGACATATACCATGTGTTCATGATACCATTGACTACTAAATAGAACCATTATAGTAGGTGTAGACTACAATTCACACTCAATAATGATTTAGTGGAAAATGAATGACTGTTCATAATTGTGGCACGGAGTTCTAATTAGAAAAAATGTAACTCAGATGAAAACAAACATAGTGTATTAAAAATAAATTGGTTTTTTTCAAGAATTGATTAGTCTGTATATCGTATACTTAAATGAGAAGATTAACGAAATGTAAACCATGGAGATTATGAACCGATCTACGTTAGACCATCATTGAAAATCTGGAAACACTGGACATACGCTACATTCCTTCGGTATAAATGGTGTGTCAAATATATACATAACTTGAGCTAATAACTACTATTACGAAACTTTTTAAAATCTCTAATGAGAATTGTAAACTTTTAAGAAGGCATAGTAAATAGAATAGCTCTTATTGAAAGGCTTAATTGTTTTAGACAGTGCTGTTAAGAATATGCGGCAAGTGTGAATTTATTGCATTGCAACTATATTACTTACAAGTAATTCGTATTGATTCTTTTATCTTGTAACTTATTTATATTAACTCTTGACAACCTGACTGTTCTCTTATTGGTTATTGAATATTTTGTTTGAACACCTTATTTTGAATGTAACTTTGAGAATGGACTGTTGTTGTTGTGTCTATCACCTTGAACGTGAATTAAGTTAATCATCATTGATTATAATATTATCTATTATTTACATATTTTCACATATAAATGTTTCAGAGAAGCCAAGACAGTGTTTTGAACTAAACGGACATTGGGTGCATTATTCTAGTAAATTTGATACCAAGAAAACCGTAACTTTCCCTTATTGATGAAAATACCGAACAAGTGAGGTCTCATGTTTTCTAACATTCAATTTCTTATCCGAATGATTGCTGACAAACAGTAACTGTGGGAAGTCCTAGGGATGTATTGAACAATAGAAATAGAGATGGGATGAAAGTAAGACTACAAGTTGAGAGTACTTTAATAACCTGAGATCACGTATTTGTTAAACAAGGTTCTTCCTATAATCATAAAAACAGAGGTTTAAGCTACAAGAGTACCGTGATTCAATGAATCATATTTTAGTTCACTGGGAGGTGATCAATAAGAGAAATTATCAATGTATGTGCTTATAATGTTTCATCGTAAATGAAATTATAAAACAAAGCAAAGTTGAGGGTAAAATCTCCCTAGATAAGATTTATTAAACAGGGTGAGAAATTACTCAGAAAGACTTGCAAAGATTTGCTGCATAAATGAAACAAATTGAAATTAGTAAGCTTTCCAGAATCAATTAAGTCTGTATTTCTGTAGCATTGCGAAAAATCGATTCATTTCGTCAACTAAGAAACAGTTTTGTTTTTCTTGTATGAATTGATAAAAATGTTTATATTTCAAGTCTTTGGGAGTAACTGTCAAACAAAAACACACTATTAACAAAGACAATGGTTAAAACTATAATAAAAAATATAATTTCTGGTCAGAGTAGCTGAGACTTAAGGATGGTTATGTAATGCTGTAGAAGTTAAGCTTTGAAATTCAACAAGGCTAGATTACAATTTCCTCAATGAACACAAAATCTAAGTCTATTTACTACCAGATAACTAGTATTGTTGAGATGCAAGGTAGTGGTGGGAATAAGCATCCAGAAACCATGAAGTTAGGATTCGTGATATTTGGCGCTCGTCAATGAGGTTTACATGCAGGCTCGAGGGGACTGGTACTCCCTGGCGGAACCGATCCAGTCTCATCCAGCTTCATAATCAGAGAACTTACCATTGAGCTATTTCCTGTATAAGTGAGATGCATTTAAGACTGATTGATCACCATGTAGTAACCAATGTCATAAATGTCAAGTTATTTTTAGTGTTGATCGAATTCTATCAATCAAGTTGCAATGCAATCATTAGTCTAAGTGACTCAGCATCACGTGCACTCTGTTGAGATGTAAGGCGGTGGTTGGAATTAGCATCGTCATCATCATACACAACCTATAACACGACACATGTGCATCAGTTAAAAATTGACACACCACATTAGCTCAAGGATATGAAATTATTTTAAAACAAATCTCAAAGTAGTTGAAATAGTAACAGTATCAGTAGAATTGAAAAAAAGACTAAGCATTAAAAATGAAGAAAAAGATAAAATGAGATTTTTGTACTTAGATTCTAGAGGAAAGCAAGTAGTAAATACACTCCGGTCATTCTGAACGATTGTAAGCCAAGTCAGGTAAAGTCTTTAACCGTTAATTACGATAACCACGAGGACCTCAACGAGGAAGTCAACACCAACTGTCAATAACCTACTCCTCAACCAGACATCTCCCGTCCATGAAGGCAATGGTTGGGGACATATAATGCATATCTTAACCACCACTGTTGATGAAGATTTAATAGTAGGTAGCATTTTACAATAAGGATGTTGCCTCCAAATGCCCTGGTACGGCTGAAGGTGTGGAGAATCCATTCTTCTTTACGAAATGTTCTCATATACCCACTGCCAAGGAAGTCCTACTCACTGACTTCTCTCAGCGGGTGTGTTGTTTACAAAATTGAGAGGATAAAAAGCGAATGTCCGGAGCTTTAACCTGGTTGGTGGATATGGAAGATCTAACCAACGACGTTGGAAAACTCTGATTCCAAAACAACGGTGCACATGGACTCCAGTATTCTGAAGGAACAAATGAAGTATGAACTAGTTATTGGTCACCGACTACCATGGGACTGAGTCTCCTAATGTTGCTCCACTGCCTTGTAGATCAGATCTTTAGGTTGAAGACTTCGAGTATGGCTTCCTAAGGAAATCACCTGCTTCGGTTTGAGCACCCAGGTAGTATCATAGCCCACACATAAGCCAAGTGACTTGTATGGCGCATATTTATTCGGTACCCCTTTGTATCAGTATTTCTGTGTTCAAATAAATAAAAAAATATTGATCTACACAGAGAAAAAAAATGAAAGATTTGAATATAATGTAATTTTATACACAATATACTTCCGAAAGAAAAGAAAAATCACAACATACTTGTTCAATAGGTGGATAAATTGTTACTCCACTATTTTGTTCTTTAGCAATAAAATCAGCTAACTGTTGAAATTTATCATGTTCAATTTGTTCTAATAATATAGCGAACCATTCATTTGATATACCTTGAATTAAATTTAATACATTTTTATTGGATCGATTAGTTAATCTTCGTCGACATTCAGCTAACATTTTATTTACAGCTGTTTTATCTAACTCTGTAGATTTGAATAAATGTTTTGTATTACCAATTAAACTGAATGAATGATTATTCATTGGTGATAAAGGTTTCATATTTGGTGTATTTTCTATAGGGAAAAAAAGAATTATTAATATTGTAAAAGAAAACAATACCAAGTCAACATAGACATTTTCATAAAGAATTCATTTAATAGTTTGAAAGTAATTAGTAGTTCGTTTAACTGATCAAAAATAAGAATGAAGTTTATTCTATCCCTTCTGAATAATCTTACAAAATGATGTAAACTGTTTTTCATCATAGTTGAATGATTAATAGTGACATACTAGATGAATGTTTTTTTATGCTTTAATCATTCTTCAAATAAAAGATACTCATAACTCTACATTGAAATAATTTCTACAAAAATTATGTTTGTATCTTAATCAGTATAGGAAAAGGCGACATTCTTAACATTAGTGAAGCTATAAAAGGAATCGGTTAATTCTAATCAACGTAGAACCTAGCACATACATGAATCAGTTTATGTTGTCACACTCCATTAACACAAAACAATGAAGTGCTTAAGACAAGCGTTAGAGTAGTAGAAATAGCAACAGTATCGATTGTAGTATTAAATATTAGACATAGAAGATTTGATTTTTGAAAGAAAATAATCACTGAATAAACAGCATAAGATCATTTAACACTTAAGATCTAATAAAAGACAATGTGTGAGTGGATCTACACAATTGTGGACTATGTTACATAAGATCTCTAACCCCTGATTACATACGATAATTATAAGCATGTCAACTGTACAATTTATAGTTCAACAGTCAATGGCTTCATGAATTGATGCCATATTTTGATTTGAAGAGAACACTACTTATCCATGATTTGTTTATAACCATGTCCACCAACGATAAACGCTGGTCATTTATTCAGTCAGTAATAACTTAGAGCTTCGTACGTACGTACATCAGTTCGACTTAGTGATTTATTAATTTCCCGTAATTTCTAAACACAACTAACCGAACCAAAGTTAATTAATATTCAACTTGACCAAAATGAACTGTAAACAGTACAAATGATTTCACTTTAATTGACAATAATTTGATAAGGAATAATTGTTAGGTAATTGAAAATTCTTAAGTAGTATATTTTACTTTTATTAATACTAATCAAGTAAAATATAATTGTCATCTTAAAAAGTTTGTTAATCAATACCTGTGTAAGTAGGCCCATATTAGAATGTGAAATTAGAAGCTTGAATGAAAATACATCTTTTTTTCAATTGGTATGATACAATTTAATAAGTAGCAAGAACAACTACACAAATTTTTTTACGACAATAAACAATATGTGAAGACGGTATAAGCATAATATTGAGTCACTAACTAGTTGGCGATGATATTGTCCCAGTAGTAGGCGATTTATTTTCATCACTGAACAGAAGTTTAGAAGGTGGATCAGAATCTCCTTCCTCACATTCTGACGAACTAAGTTTCCGCTTTAGTTCCCCTTGAGTTGGTGTTGTAGATGTTCGAGAAAAAAATGATGTCAAAGTTCTTTGACTTGATTGAGAGAGTTTACTTGATGATGCCTAAAATTCCCAAAAGAAAATCGAAATATACATTAACACAAAAGAAACGCTAGTATAAATAACTGCAAATCAATAAAAAAAATTCTACTAGAAAGATATGATAATACAATTTCGAATTATCAAAAATGTAAATTTCACATTTGAAGATGGTGAAATAATCAAAGATGAAATTAAATCATTTTTATAAAGCTTAAAGACTTTCAATCAAAACCAGTAAACTTGTATCATGTATTAATCACAATCGAAAAATGACTTCTCAACCACAAAAATTAATAATCACTGAATTCAATCAATATTTCCAACGTAAACCTTTAAAATTCGATGTATTTCCTAAGTTTAGTTCTACAAACTGACTAAAGTAGTCGTTGTCTGAGTTCAGAAATGTTCCCTCAAAGAAATCAACCACATTTTTGCTTTTCTCATTGAAGACTTTCATGAATATAGGCTTAACATCTTTTGGATTTCATGATGTTTTACTCAAACGCGAAGAATTTACCTTTTCTTAGCAAGCAAATACTAAAGGTTAGGAAGCAAAATTAGTAGTTTGATTCTGACAAATTAATCTAAACAAGTGTGAATGCAGAAATTCATTTGATTAATTGATCATTTCTACTACATTTCAGGACAGAATAAATAGATGGAGATTAAGGCGTAAGAATGATTGGTATTAATCCATCATTACCTATTTAAAAGGTTAATATTTGAATTATTATCTCTTATTAAACAGAATAAATTTTGGGCGGTTAAGAATTACATATTTATTGAAGAACTTGATACAGAACAACAAAATGATTGTCAAGGACTTTTCATTCTGATCCATATTTGTTAATGCTTCAGAAAATGTTGAACAATACTCAGAGATTCGTCGGTCGTTCTCATGAGTTTCTTTAGTTGGCAACATAGCTCATATTTTATTGGATCTAGCCTAAAAACTATCAAAGCATACGTAGATATCATTTGCTATGTATTTCTTTATTTTCACTCTGACTGAAGCTTCTAATCAAGTAACGTATAAAAGATTGTTGACGGTAACTTAATCTATTAGTTCCACAATGGTTCCTTGGATAAATACAAACACACACAGACTCAAACACATTCATAGAAATCCATCTATATTGAAAATATAAAACGATAAATAAACAGAAAGCATATATTTTTTTCACACTAAGTATTACTTTTTTCAAAAATAAAAGGAAACAATGGTGCTGTGGAAATTATTAAGATATACAATTGCTCGAAACATAAAACCAAGTTCTCGATGAATTCATCATCATATACAACATTGGTATAGGTGATAGCATGCAAACAATTCAGAATAAGATTACGATTTATTCATTCACAATCACCGTTTCATATGTTCAGCACTGATTATCCCAACATTAGCACTTTGAACGCGGAACAGTATCAAGCATTATCTATCACATAAAGTTAGAATAAATTCAACTACACAGAGAAATCAGTACAAAGAATGTGTGTGTATATGTATGTATACAGACTTCATTGCTACTGGGCTTAACATAGTTTTCACAGTATTTGTAACCATAAAAACTATTTTATAAAGTATTATTTATCCATATAACTAAAGAAAGTACTTAATGTGAAGTACTGCAAGAAAGAAAAAAAACAAAGAAATAAATTATTTGTTGTAATTGTTCAACAGAATTTCTCTTGATTTAAACATAATATGTCAAATAAAATGCACGAAAGTCAAAACGTGCATAAACAAGTTAATTAAGAAAATAGCCAACAACAACATGTTGGATAAAGATAAAATAGAATAAAGTGTAATAATTGTTCACATGAAATGAAGTAATAGTGCTTCATACAAAATAATATTGTTTCGATGTGTATATAAGTGTGTATGTTTAGGTCAACGAATTTAATAGTACGAATAGAAACACATGCGAAATAATAGATCAAGAGAGCATGAATACACAATTTAAAAGTATATAATGATAATGTATCACAATCGGTTATTTTTAATTGGACAATTGACGAGCACCGATCATAGCAGAGAATAAAAATAACACAATAACTATTATAAATAAATAATATATTTGTAATATCCCAATGAGTAGAAAATCTAATTTTCTACTCATTGGGATATTACAGATATATATTATTTATTTATAACAATCAACCCAATGCTCAATTTATTCGAAACAACAACTATTAGACTGTTTTCCATGTGATGAAAATTTTTTGAAAGAAAAGAAAAACACATCGGAGACAACTAACCAATTACACACAGGGTTTTATATTACTGGAGAAAGACTAAACATTTAACACAAATAGAGTCAAATGTTTAAGCGACAAAAATAAGCCCACATTTTGTGAGATTCACTTCAAAAGAATGAATCAATAAATGAAAAAAAAGAGAGAGAAAACCCACGGTAGATAAATTAATTTGGAAAAATAAACTAATCAACATTTATATGAATATATAATTGATATGATATAAGGTGTAAAATAAAAGTTATTTAATTAAGATCAGTTTATAAAAGAATAACTTTGTTTCATCCAAATTGATCAACAGGTATATACGTCTCATGGTGTGTGTGTGTTGTATATGTTTTGGTTGGTTGTTTCGATGAATAATGCTGTTTTATAATTGAACAAAATATAATCGATGGTCTTCATGAATTATTTGCTTATCAGTTATAATAATGTACACGTCTGTAAAGGAAATTAAAAAAGAACCCAAATAATATGATTATATATATATATATATATATATATATATATATATATATATATATATATATATTTAAAATGATAGACAGTGTCAGTGAGTTAATAATACAGCGGATAAGAAAAACTCCATGAAAGAAAAATCATCCAATGCCGTTAGATTATATCACATATTCTACAATTAATCGGTCGTTAGAAACAATTGCTTCTGTGACAAATAGGTAAGTACATCATCACCGAATTTTTTAAAGATCATAATCCGTCTCGTTAAAGTAAGGAATAGTTGAAATCAATTAAGATATTTATACTGATTCATGTAATTGGTACAGGGCATTAAGTAAACGTAAACAATGTATTTCTAATTATTCACTGGATTCCATCGACCATATTATATAATTTAGTCATAAAACATTTAAATATAGTTACAAACAATAGTATCCAATTCAGCGAACCTGATTTTTGTGTTCAGGTGAAAATTTGTACTTTGGTCATTAAAAATAAACTAAAAGTTCAGTGAGTTATAATCGACTTATTACATGATCTCTTTATCCAGTTGATTTTCTCAAAATTTTGTTGTAACATGCTCTATTCTTTATCATTACTTAATTGTTATTATGATTTGACTTCTTAGCAGAATTTTGACAACTCACTTATACTACACGACACAATCTATTGTCATATATTCCAATTCATTCATTTATTCATTAATATCTTTGAATATTTATAACGGTATCCATTTTAACTTTTTAATTGCACTTAACCCAATTGAAATCTTATCTTACCAACTGCCAGTTTCAATTTCTTGATTGTCTAGATATTACTCTTATGTTTCTGCTAATTAATTTTGATTGATATTATTCCTAAATATAAGTCCATTCTATATGTTTACTAAGTAATTGATTGACTTTTTCCTTTGATAATTTGTCTTTCAGATTTCTTCACCCGCTTCCCTACAACATAAAACATACCTTCAATCTACCTATGAACCGGATCTTATTGAGGGATTTAATCTAATGACAATTCTATCCATTTGATCAAGATGCATATTATAATATGTAGAGATATTATGAAAATTCAATTAATTAGTTGCAAAGAAACATTTCTCACCCTTCCCTATTTTACTGTTTTCCAGATGATAGAAAAATCAACAACACTACGAATAACTTTTCAAACGATCAAAGTTAATAAAAATCTGTCAGTAATAATAGTTGCAAAACAATTAAGTAATAACGTTACTATGGATAAACAATTTTACAGGGGGGGCAACGAGATAAGCGTTAAAACAGAACAAATATTGAAGAGCCTTTATTATTCTTATCGAAACTAGTACACCTGTCATCACACTACCAATTTGTACTTTTCACATATTATATAATCGTTTTATTCATCGTTATCATTGACTCATAAACTACCTTGATTGGTTTAATAATTTCGTATATGCATATAAATATTACTTTGTATTAGAGTAAAGCCTGATGAGGATCTAATCGAAAACAATATTGTTCGCTTATAAGCAAAGATGGATAGTGGCTAGCAGTGGAATCCAGGACGCGCGTTTCGTCCTATTTGGGACTCGTCAGCTTATATATGTTGTTCTAAATATTGAAGAATCCTTTCACATAAAATTGTTATGATAAAATTTCTACTGTATAAAATTACTAAGTAATTAGATTATTGTATTTTTAAATTTCCTGTATTATAAGATTCCAATGGGTATTAATTGTTGTTATACGTCTTAACCATTGTTTAATTAATTTTCCCCTATATTACTATTCTCTATTCCTTGTTTGTTTCGCATAAACTGTGACTTCCTATGATCTGAAATATCCGTCTAGTAAATCATGTATATAAACGGATGAGTGTTTGGAACATATGAATACAAGGTTTTTCCGTTTTTTTATTCTTACTTGAGAATGAATACTAGACTAGATGAGAGTGTCCATCTTACACAAATAAGCGTTAAGAATTACCTCAGTTGATCTTCAGGTAAAAATTTTTCTCAGTCAGTGATTCAATTAAGGCGTATATATGAAGAACACAGACAGTAACAATAAGACTAGCAAATAAGGTTTAGATTTGAAGTTAGTGAATGTGAGAATGCTTTATAGCCATAATGAATAATTAGATAGATAGTTTAAATTAAAATCCAAATTTTAAGTGACCTAGGAAAATTCACAAATGTTATATTTTAACTCCAAGGTTTTGTGCCATTTGACACTCGTTAGAAAAGTGTAGTCGTAATATTGTGCGAACTGGTCACTGGGGGATTCGATCCTGTGTCATCCAACTTCACTGTTACAGGCGTTACCACTGAGTTATTCGGACCGTCACTGCTTATCTATAGGAAGGAATTGACATACATGGCATTGGTCGCTATTAAATGATCATTTTCTCATTATCATTTCATAATCACCCAAAGTTGACTATATTCTTTAATTCTGTCCTGATTATCAACTTTAAGCGTTTTAATAATAAGTAATATTGGTAGGTTCTGCCTTGTACCTAGTTCATATGTTAAGATAACAGCTATCTACCATAGTATTTTGGACTTGACGGAAAAATTTAGGAGCTGTTATTTTAAATCTTGTTTCTGTGGCAGTATGGTTTATTTACATTTGCCGAAATAGCCACAAAAAATGAAGTAACGAACATAACCTACTTAATCTGTATGGTTATTCAAAAAGTAAAGATCGAAATTTGATAGTGTAATTATTAAGATCAATTGTTTAAATGACTCAGATTATCGGTAGAAATTGAAAAATTTATTATTTGGAACAATCTTAAAATGAATTTTGATCATTTACTTCCTTTACTACGTACAGACTGGTGTACTTGGCTAGCAGGCATATATTAACTGTGAAAAGTAGTGATCAAGTTGTTTGAAACCTTCAAACCCTATCACAGTTCGAACATTCAAATGATATTGTCAATCGGTTTAGTATGTGGGGCTGTAAATGGTTGTTTAGACAGACGACTACAGTATATCTTGTAAAGTGCATATTACACTATCTATCTAAATGCAATATATGAAATACAGTGTTATGTACTGCAGTGCTCAACAAAGCTTTTAAAGACAATAATTGGAAACAAAATTTCCAGCCACATCTACTTTGGAGTTCAACATAGTTTTCAAACTGTAAAGACTACTCTTAATTTTCATTCAAGGCCTTCAGGTAGTGATATTTTGACGACAAAATACCGATAATAGATATTATACTTTATTGTAAAGGTTTTAATTGGCTCACTTATTAAGTATAGATTTATGTCCTCAGCATTAAGCTACTCATTTTCTTAAATAAATGAGGCAAGTGTTCGAACATGTACCCTAATAGTTAAAAGTCGAACACATTAACCACTAAGTTCCCTGAATCATAGGAAAACATATTAAATGAATCAACTTTATCATGTACATAGAGTATACCAAATTTAGGATTACATAGGTATTCTGAAGCAACCTAAATGATAATTAACTCGATTTTGTGGAACCAGACATATTGTGGTGTGTGCTACTTATATCGACATAAGTAGTATATGATGTTAGTCGTGAACAGAATGTCTGGCAGCAGAGAGACAAGAGGATCGAACAGTAAAGAATGGAAACAATGAAATTTGTATAAAAATGCAAGAACGATCAAGTCGGAGTCATTTTGAGACAATTAATGGACATTTTGTAAATTAAGCATTTATTATATGATTATTAGATTTTATTAACGAGTCCTGTAATTTTGTGTCGAATACATTCGATTGTCCATCACTGGTGTTCTTGTTCACTACAATATGGAACCGATTTAAATCCCTGAAGGTAAAACAGGTTGTCCTACTAAAGTCACAGATTTAGAAAATACATAAACAATAACTCTGACGAAATCTACAACTGAAACTTGTCTAGATTTTTATAACTGGAAATGAATAACATTCAGCGACCGGCTTTTTTTTTAATTTTTTTTGATAAATTTTTTTTTCACCCCTTTAAAAAAGTTTTTTTCATCCCATTTTCCAAAATTTTTCACCACGTTTCGTCCAATTAAATTGCTAGTTTTAAGTTCGTTATAATTGGTTAGTTATGTCTTGAAAGTGTTATAAAATGTCAGCACTCGTCGAATATGAATATCTAAATTCATTTAACATTATTAAGTGCTTCATCATTTGACCTTTGCCATAGAAACAAGAGATGGAAACGAAATAATTTAAATCAAATTGTGGGTGGCCCTGAATAGGGCCTTTACTCGTTCTCTTATTAATGCAGATGTAGCTGTATAAGGGCGTAACTATGAGTTGGTTATGGCGCCACACATCGGACAGTTAACTGCACGTACGTTTGGTGATGGGTCGTAAGCACAAAACCGATGAAACATTGCTTCGCAAGGACAAAAAACCCAAGCAGCTGCATCGCCAGTTTCATATGGAGGCTGTGTAAGATGACATATATCACACAAACGGTTGTAGTAATGCTGTTCTTCATATTCCATGTCCCGTTCCGTGAACTCTTCGGAGTTAATAGAAAGTACTTCCTCCTCGTCGTTACTGAACGTTTCATCCAAATCCACATTACCGTCGTAGTTCGGCACTGAGTTATCATTCATCATGGGCACTGGGACGTGCGTGGAAGTGCTTGGTTCGGTGTGCAAATGCGGTTCTGCAGACAAGTTCAACGGCGTTGGTGGCATTCTACCGTGAACCAGTTGATAAAGATGGTTATATACTGAACTGCATTGTTCCTCAGACAGTCGCCTGACTAAGGCATGCACCGAATTCCTGAGGCTTGGCTGTCTTGATTGCACTAAGAAGTAATCCTCAATCGCAATATGTGTTAGAGAAATCTCCGACTGTAACCACCTGTCACAAATTGACTGTACGTTCACATCACTATTACTGTGTGCGCAGTAGGCCAAAATGTGACGACATGGCATTCCGTTTTCAATATTAAAAATACACGAACACTGAAAGGTATTGCGGTTGACTGTGTAAGTGCCGGTTGCGTCCACAGCCGTGAAGATATCAACAGACATTACGAACTCAGTTATCGGAGTGCGCAAGTGTCGCTTCAGTATTTGACATGCAGCTGGTGACAGTCGTTCCTGAAGTCGACGTATCAGTAGCCCCTGACCAATAATCGCTTTATTTCGACAGTCCGATGTATACTTTTGCATTCGTGCTTCCATCCAATATCCAGTGCGAAGTAGCACACTAAATATAGATCTCAACACAGGTGTTTTTCGATTCAGCTTATGCCTCTTCAAAATTCCATGAGTTGTCTCAACGAAGTTGGTATTATCTTGTTGAAGTAGCGTTGCTGATGGTCGAAAAGCAGTAGACCATTTTTGTTTTCTCGGCAGTAAGTGGTCTCTTACATCAGCCGAAAAAACAGTTGTATCACTTCTGATCGTACTCTCTACAATGACGGTAAATGGGTCAATGTTAAGGAACAAAACACTTACCCTCTTAATGACATTGCGAATTAAGTGTACACGACACAAAATGTGGTGAACATTTGGACACACCTGCGTGAGGGCAGCAGCTATTGCTGGTGAATCATCTGTCACAATGCCTACCACCTGTCGATTGTTTGTTGACCGTTGAAAGAACGACAGGAATCGAGAAATCAAAGTCGATGTTTCGCGACTTATAAATGCAATACAAACAGGTATTGCCATAAAATTCATATCAAGGGCTACTACCTGATATAAATATACGTTCTCGTTATTTGTTTTGTACGTCCCGTCGAAACCAACAACATCTAAAAAACGAGCGGCCAAATTCATTTGATCAGCAGTGGTGAAGAAAAAATACGATAGACAATTTTCTTCGTCTAATTCGTAATCGCAAAGCCCACCTAAGGACATTATGTGAGCTTTTAATTTGGCGTAATCACCTATCGTTTACATTATAAATACGCAGATTGCTTACCAGGTAGGTTGGCGTGTGAGAACACTTTGTACCGCATATTAAATATATCTTGAGCATTCAAACGCTTTCCATAAGAATGGTAAGCAAAGTGCTTAATATCGAATGCTGCTGTCCCAGATATCAGGAGCGGTCGCACGGTTTCAAACTCAGCCTCCGTTAACCTGCGCACCCAAGAATTACTGTCGTACCTCAGGGAATTGCACTCGTGATTGTGACTCACATTCCCACGTACAACAGTCCAGGAACCTTCTATAAACTTACAAAATATGAAGACCGGACAGTGAGTGTTCATGGAAGTCCTTCGTGAAAAAAAATGTAATAACACTAATCTATTTACCTCCTCCGTCTAATCGGCTGTGACGAAACGCTAGATCTTCTACGGCCAGTTCTCCAACATACAAATTTAATATACGATTTCTGATCTCTGTCCAAATGAGAATCTCTCACCACATAATGACAGTATGTAGATCTTTCATAAGTTCTGATAGCCGACTTTAACGCTTCAACTGATTGGAACGCAACGAGAAACAATATAGTCAAAAATACATCCTCCGTTTCTGTGACAACGTGAGAAACAACAGCTCTTGCACATGGCACGTCACTCTCCTCCATTATGATGATGAAAATGTAATTTTTTCGAGGAGTGCTGACATTTTATAACACTTTCTAGACATAACTAACCAATTATAACGAACTTAAAACTAGCAATTTAATTGGACGAAACGTGGTGAAAAATTTTGGAAAATGGGATGAAAAAAACTTTTTTAAAGGGGTGAAAAAAAATTTATCAAAAAAAAAAATTAAAAAAAAAAGCCGGTCGCTGAATGTTATTCACTATTATTTGTCCATATGGTGAATAAAATTTGGTTTATTTAAATAGATATAAGAAGAGATACTTATTTGATCATGTTTAACTTGATCAAAAATAAAACGAATCAATAAGATAATTATTATTATTTCGGAATTATATTGTAAACTTGTTCAGTTTTATTATATTTCAAATTTTAACTTCATTTATTAGTCGACGAAGTAACATGATATTCCTTGAAAATAAAGCAGCACTTTTGTATTTAATTACGATATTTTCATGTAAATTTTCAAAGTAGATACACTTGAATAAATATAATTAACAATATACATAGATTTATAGACAAGCTTAGAATGAGTAATTTTATTTTACTTAAGAATATACTTTATTTAAGCAGTACTGTAGTGTACACTACTTATGCCGTTCAGCCCTCCCAGGTTTTCCATGATGATCTAGCTTCAATTGACTCATGATTTCAACTAAATAAATAATGTCAACACTTATTAATCTATAAGTTTATGAAATTTTAATAATTATTCTCCAGAACATTTCGATCAAAAGTGTTACAGAAATATTTGATCCTTACAATTTAAAATAATATCATAAAGTTCATGAAAATCTTAATTGTTACGTCATAAGTTTGAATAACAGTCATCATTTGTTAGACAATTATGTAATCTCTTGTCATTTTTTTTTGTTATTGAATGTATTCATTATTCTTTTCTAAAAGTATCGTTTCTTGAATTCACTTGGTTTTTTTACATGTATCATCCCATCGATGTTTAGGACAGCAAGTGACCAGTCTCTTGTTATCATATGTACATCCTGTGCGAATTGCCTCGATATAGCCTTAAGTTACAGGCTTTTTAAACAAAAATAGATACACCAACAAGAGACTGATTAATCGCAGTCCTAAATAACAATAGGAAGATACAAGTAAAACAACACCAAGTGAATTTAAACTTCACTACATTGCACAAGCAAGTGGCTATCGGGATTCAGTATCTAAGTGGATAACGCGATGGTGTTTGCAGCGAATGGCATTGGGTTCCAGTCCCAGAGTGAACATCAGTCCTGGGATGCAGGTACATCTAGTTGACGAGTCCCAAATAGAATGAAAAGCACATCCTAAATTCCCATGATAGCCGCTATCCATCTTTACTTAAAAAGTATCATTTCTTTCTTTATTACAATTATAAGGTTTATTTTTATATAAAAACATTTTAAACAATGGATCAAAATTGTTATAATGAAATCTGAGACAACCTATTCTTAAAAATATCATAGTGTTTGAGTTGAAATCATTATCTAGGGAAGTAGATAAATACGATTTTCACAACTTCAGAACAAACGTACATACATACCAAATTACAATATGATCTCTTCAACTATCATAGTCATCTAACATCTTTTTCTCTATTAATGACTACTATCAATGAGACTACTTATTTTTTATATTCTTTACTGATATATTTTATTCCATATCATTGACTCTATTTGTGAATTTGAATAAAGCCAAAATAATAGTCAGGACATATGTATCCTCTCTTCAGATGTTTACAGCCATATTCTTACTAAAGTGTAACATTCAAGTATGGCATAATATGAAGTAGTTGACAATAATCATGAAAAGAATTGGAATTCCAGAGATTATTAGTAAAAAATTATATATTTATGAATGAATATATGTAAGGTCATTCAAAGATGGAATTTAAAAATGTAGACAGAGATAGATACGATGAACTATGGAGTAATTATAAGAAATTTGAAAAGTTTACATAAGTTTAAAATCATTTAAAATAAATGTTAATATCTAACTTTAATCAATTCATAATATTGCATAACCCTTAGATGGCGATTGGAGGTAGTCGACAGGAAACCCTGGACAAGGGTTTCGTGCTACTTGGCACTCGTCAGTACAGTGTACCTGTAATCTTAAGGAAACTGGTGCTCCCTGACAGATTCGATCCCGTGTCACCCAGCTTCACAGTCAGAGACGTTATCACTGAGCTATCCGGGTCGCGAGCGACCTCCTGTAGGACTGAGATGTAATCACAATTGATTGATCACTGGGTGGTGATCGATGTCATGCGTGTCTAGTCCTTATTAGTGCAGATCGAATGCTATCGACCATGTTAAATGTGGTCATCAGTCTAAGTGACTCGACAGGAGGTCGATCACGGCCCGGATAGCTCAGTGATAACGTCTCTGACTGTGAAGCTGGGTGACACGAGATCGAATCTGTCAGGGAGAACCAGTTTCCTTAAGATTACAGATACACCTTACTGACGAGTGCCAAGTAGCACGAAACCCTTGTCCAGAGTTTCCTGTCGACCATCACACAATAGTGCCCGCAGTGTCGAGTCACTTAGACTGGTGGCCACATTTAACATGGTCGATAGCATTCGATCTGCACTAATAAGGACTAGACACGCATGACATCGATCACCAACCAGTGATCAAACAATTGCGATAACAGAGAGCAGTTATTATAACAGCTGAATTAAAAGAACCATTAAACATGTGAAGGACAACTGAAGAAGGATGTGAAAATAATGTATTTAATGTATGATTTCCATATATTACGAAGACACAGTGTAATTTGGTATTAAGCAATACATTAGTTTTCCCTACATAAGTTTTCATCTACTACACTACACTACCACTACTATTTATCAAGATAGAGTTAAGATAAATACGTGTTTATTGATCATTTATCTGTTTTCAACATCAGTAGATGAGATGAGACATAATGAAACAATTATGAGTAACAGTCACACTAATACACAACATTCAATTGAAATTACCAAGGACACAAAAATACATGTCCATACCAAGAGATAATCATTTAAAATGAAACATAATAAAACATTTTGTTTAATTATTGGATATAAACTATCAACCAATCAACAATAGTTAGACAAAATATTTCTACATTATGAAATAAATGAAGATGTATAAGACAGAAAAAAAGTACAGACTTATTGAACTGAAAATTATATTTTGTCGATAGTACATCTACGGGGGGGTAGGGGGTGACTTGAAAAATTTATCTCAATGATTTGTAGTAAATAGAATTGTAACAAGATAAAATTCATTAAAATACAAATAAATATGAGTCATTTGTTAATAATATTCTCTGACATATCTATACCACTAGTAGATTACTATGAAGTGCATGACAAAATAATGTGACAAAATAGAGTCAGTAATAATGATATAAATAACAAACAAATTACTTACATATTTACGTGATCCTTCCTTTGATAAATGGGACTGGAAAAAAAAACAGAAGTAAAATTGGGTGATTGAAACACATGATGTCTATTCGTAGAATTGATAAATATAAGTTTTAAAAAAAGTATAATGTACTAACTGTCTGGATTCTGTTACATGGTATTAGTTCATGAAACCACCAACAACTAGATTTAGCCGTATAAATAGGCACAGACTACCTGGTTAAAGTTCTTTTGATTACCGTAACTAATGGTTAGATACGTAGAGTGATATCCCTTCAAATCGTTTGTAATAATAGAATTGAATATACTCCTTGTCTTGTTATAAGAATATCAGTGTTAAATGATACACTATGGTAAATTCCTTTACGAATAAGTTCGTACATAAACGTATACATTCATTTGGACTATTAAACAAATAAAGATTAATTATTTATTATTTCAATTCGATTGGTTTTCTTGTAGATAATTCATCTTTGTATTGGTTGTTTGAATCTTCCCATTGACGTTTAGGACTATCTATTTATTTATTTATTTTAACACATAAGTATAGGTACAGGGACGCACCAAATACATATGCACCACAAAAATCTCAATTGATTTGTGTGAGGGCTGTGATACTGCCCGGGTGCCCAAACCGAAGCAGGTGGTTTTCTTAGGGGGCCACACCCCGAGCCTTTGACCTAAACGTCTGACCCACAAGGCAGTGGAGCATCGTGAGGAGATGCAGTCCCATGGTAGCCGGTGACCAACGATTGGTTCATACGCCATTTGTTCCCGCAGGATACTGGAGCCCATGTGCACCATTGGTTTGGGGTCCGGTTAAAGCGCCAGACATTCGCTTTTCGTCCTCTCATTTTTGTAAACAACACCCCCGCCACGAGAATGCAGTGAGTAGGACTTCCCTGGCAGAGGCTATATACGCATGGCCATGTGAGAGCATTTCGAGAGGGAGAGCGGACTCTCCCCACTCTCGGCCGTACCAGGGCATTTGGGGGCACGTTTAGGACTGCGACCGATTAGTCTTTTATTGGCGCATGTACACCCTGTGAGGATTGCTTCGATATTGCCTTAAGTCACAAGCATTATAAGCAGAGATGGATGATTGACAGCGATGAAATCCAGGATGTGAGTTTCGTCCTGCTTGAGATTCGTCAGCTGGGTGCACTTGTGTAGTAACACTTACGATTTTGATAACGGTTAAGCCCTTTCTTCTGACAATGTTATCAACATAGTAACAATTCCTTTATTTCTTTGTATTAGTAGAATCACTATCATTGGATTATTTTATTGTGGTATAATTATTTGAGATGGGGTTTTAATACAGGACATACATCAGTTCATACCAGTTTAATTCTATGCAGATTAATCTGGTACAAAACAGTTCTAGGTTATTTCATCCAAATAAAATCACTAATTGTTCTAAATCTTAGTTCATTACAATGCCATTTCCAGATCCGGTTCAGTTCTTATTCATTTTTAATCATAATTTGATTTAGTTTACCAGTGCTTTACCTATAAGTCTATTTTTAAACTCAATTTTTATTGAATTCGTTATGTTCTACTCCATTGAAATGAGTAACGAATATTGAAGGCGGAATCATCCAAATATGAAAATTTAAGACTTACTTCATTTGGCCAAATATCACTACGAAATCGTACCGAACTAACATGTTTCGGTAAATCAAAATATTCCCCATGACTTTGAAATGTCCTAGATGTCTCTTCTGACAAGCGCGTTATCTTCACTACTGATTTATTTAAATTGTTATCTTCAACAGTTTGTTGTTGTGGATCATTGTTTGAGGTGAAATCATTATCTGAATAGACTGAGGAAACTTTATCACTTGAACCGTCTTCCTCATCATCAACGGCAACAACGTCTGGTGTTGATATTTTTCCAGATTTTCTAGAGCATGATTCCATTTCACAAGTGGCTCGAACCTATTGAACAGTTATAAGAAGATTTAAAGGGAGGATAAGCATTACACAATAAAATTCAAATAAACAAAAAAACACATATAAAACAAAAGGGCATGAAATCATAGTCTAAGTGATTTCTACCGAATTTCCTTCTCTCTCTCTTTCTCTCGGACATCTGAATATTGAATTCAGAAAAAAAAAAACAGTAAGCTGTCAAAGATATGTCAGGCTTACTATGTAGAAAAAAAATACAGATAGAATTCGACCAATACTGACAAATATAACACAGAATTACCGTTTGTACAATGGTTCTTGAAGAAAATGAGATGGTTAGCTTAAACAACTTTCGGAAAATCAATATATTGTTAAATACATGAAACAAATAACAATTGTGAATTATGAAATTATGAATAAGTAACAGTAATACTTAGAAAAACTATTTATTAAATTTGTTGAATACATTAGTAATTTAAAGAAAATCAGAAATCCCATGTAGAATAAATGAAAATAATGAGAAGGAAAAGAATGATAGGAATGAGAATACAATAACATCAGAAAATAAACCAACAAATGTACTCTATGTGTAGTGAGCAGAACACCGATGAGAACAATCGAATGTATTCGACACAAAATTACAGGACTCGTTAATAAAATCTAACAATCATATAATAAATGCTTAATTTACAAAATGTCCATTAATTGTCTCAAAATGACTCCGACTTGATCGTTCTTGCATTTTTATACAAATTTCATTGTTTCCATTCTTTACTGTTCGATCCTCTTGTCTCTCTGCTGCCAGACATTCTGTTCACGACTAACATCATATACTACTTATGTCGATATAAGTAGCACATACCACAGATGTATCGAATGAGTGTTTTTGATATGATATGACATTCAAAGATTAGGGGTCTAACAATCAAATTTTAAGTGATTGGAAGACAAGTAAACTTATTAAGCTAACATTCTGCAATATCCAATATGACATTTCATCATATTGTTTTGTGTTAAGATTTTATACATAAGTAGATCATTTTATAACACCCCCCTTATTACATATTATATTCACACAACAATCTTATTATTATTATCTCAATTGACAAGATGAAATTCTCCTACTATGTACTTTATTCACACAATTTTTTTTGCATTTTCATTTTTGCTATAATACTATTCAACTTATTGTGACTGGACACTACTCCAAATCATTCTGACCTTTATTGAATGACCTTTCTAATTTACAAATAATACAATTTTGAAGTATATATATATATATATATATATATATATATATATATATATATATCGTAACAGATGCAAACCTGCACCATTTTTAACACATAACATTGCCAAATTTCACTAATACATGCCTTATTTTTGGCCGTTGTAAAATATTATAATTATGGACTTATAACTGTAGGGCCTGATGATGGAGTTATTGAAAACAATTGTTCGCTTAAATATTCTTCATTTTTGAATATTCTACGGAGATTTTTAAACTGCATTTTATAACATTTTAGAAAAATCATATTCTTTCGGTTAGTAGTTTTGTTTTCGATTTCAGATGTTTAAGTTAATAACAATAAAATCACATGAATGGAAATATCACATACTGTCACATCACATCGTTCTATTCGTCAACAGAAAGAGATATTCTACTCATTAATTTTGATCATTCAAAATTTCCATTATCAAATTATTAAGAACTTCTTGTACATAACAGTTTTAACATATATATTCCAGTAAGTAAAGATATGACTTATCTGTCGTTAAGCAATGTAAAGCATGGTATTTTGTTTAGCTAGTAATTGGAAACAATATGGGTTCATTGAAAAATAATGTATATCTAACTATGGAATTAATGGCTCAAAATGAAGGCCCTGGGTTCGAATCCCGCAAGCGGAGACGTGGATGCGCACTACTGAGGAGTCCCACAATAGGATGAAATGGCCGTCCAGGTTTCCAACGGTGGTCTAACATCAATCGGTTTATGATCTCAATCAAAAACGCAATAATCTCCACAACCCCCATATTGAAAAAAGAACCTGATGGCTTGAGAAATTATTATGAAAATATCCATATTTAAGATAATAAGAAATTGGATTTACTTTTTCAGTTCAATTGAATTTTTTGTAAATCCTTTTTATGATATTCATTTTGTAAAGTTATTTGAACACACGAGAATAAACAGTATATGTCCTTCAATATCAAACACAACATTGACCAATGTATTCAAATCAGTTATTTAACAAATAGTCTATGATTATTAAGATGTTGTTGATAGAATATACATTAAAAAATTATAAATAAACTTTAAATATCCATAACTAACATCAAAGTCAGAATCTTTAATATGAACGTTAAGATATTTAGTTTTATTGTACGGAGCTGAGGCTGGAAGAACTACTACAAGAATCATCAAAACAGTACAAGTTTTTAAAAACAATTGACTACATAGTATACTCAATTTCCGGTGGTCGTCAGTCAGTCAGCTACAACGTAGGACCAGGTACATATATGCATCAGTCCAAGTTACCATATCTCATTAGCAAAATAAGATGAACACCAAATTCGTAGTCGTTTTAATGGTGGTAATGTATAAAAGAAGGATTGCATATAATGATATAGTACAGGAAGAAAGAATTAGTTGGTACAAAGAAAGATTTTAATCTCATGGTTTAAGGGAAGACCGTATGCAATCAGCAACAGCCTAATGTGGAAGAGAACAAATCAACTTCCACCTAAAGAAGAAATTAGGAAATGACGTTGGAAGTGGATAAGACACATATTGATGAAATCATCAAGCTGCATCACAAGGCAAGCGCTGATTTGGAATGCTGAAGGGAAACGGAAAACTGGAAGACCAATGAATACATTGTGTCGGGAATTGGAAGCAGACATGAAAAGGATGAATGACAACTGGAAAAGATTGCCCAGGACGGAGTTGGATGAAGAACGCTGGTGAACGGTCTATGCTCCTTCAAGAGGGGTAACAGGCGTAAGTTTAGACATCCAGATTACTTATACAAATGTCATGATAGATATGTTATTCATAGACTAGTAAGAAGTTCAAATTTAACAATTCATACATTTTCTACTTCAGTCAATCAGTAAAATAAATGTTTCAATTTAACTAAAACACTTATAATCCAATTTTTTTATAAAAACAATTTTCTCATTAATTGTCGGTTATCTTTCAGGATATAATCTTGATGTTAAGTTTCTATCGATGAATCTAAGTGGATAACCATTTCTAACGAGTATTTGTCTGAGTTGTAGTAGTTCATCATCTACAATACTTATAGCTTAAGGCATCTAATTTCTATTGATGTTTAATATCATAATTATTTTAAGTGAGTATTTTTATTCAGTATATACAGTAAGTGTAAATGTTCACGAATTCGTAGTGCATGTAGTTTTAAATGTACAATATATACACGGTGACAAGCATTCATTTATGGGCATTTTTTCGTTCATTTAAAGTATAATTTCCACTGAGGATTTTCTTTGAAGCTCTAACTTTCACTTTGTTTGTTTTTTACGCATCTGTCAAGTTGGGATGCGTTACAGTTGAGTGTTCATAGAAGACATATGTAGACAACTTCAGGTGATTGAAATGAAATCTCTGAAAATTGCACTCCTATATGCAGTACTGACCCATTTTGAATGGACGGCAAAAATGCTAGATATTGCATTTTTATTGAACACTGAAAAAAGTTAGTTAAACTCGTACAATTTTACTAATATGTACTTTAATATTGATTATAAATAGAAATGATTAATATATGGGTTCATGTTGGTTTCGTTTATTCACTGAATTTCTTAATCAACAATGGTACACAAATATACGTACACACACACATGCTAATGAACTTTTCACATCGTGAACATTGATGTGGTAAACTAATATGATGTAGCCAAGTTAGAAGCTCACTCAAAGACAATCAGAAGTGACCTGAAAAACAAATGCATATCATTGTCTAAGAAATGGAGAGATGTATACATATAAATGAGTATTTGTGTATTTTATTCAGTAGCTCAATATACTTTCTTATCCACTGTTGTGTTCTTGCTTAAGTAGTCAGTTGGGGAGGTCAGCAAATAGCACCGTGTGTATCAATATCAGACTGCGGATACCATCCGTCATAACAAACATTTTTATACATCGTATGACACATATTTTTTACTATGCAAAAAAAGAATTAACCAACATCTGAATATGATTAGAAGAGTTTATCGCATATTTGTCTTTCAAATTTATATATTCTTTGATCGATTTTAGTTTGAAGAGACCGTAAACAAAACGTTGGAATTAGTGAAATCTTAATTCCTGAGATAATTTCAAATAATTTATATTTGTATTTAGTGTTTTTTGATATGCCCGGTGCTTAATTTCTGTTAAATTATTCATTTAAATTTGGATGAATGTCCATATAAATTAGAATACAGTTTCTGAAAAAAATACCCGCATGAAAATCGTGGACATTGCTGAATATTATTGCCATTACAAACCAATCACCGACAACTATTGAAAACCTGACTACGTGAGTGAGGACACAATACTGAACAAGAAAGTCTATTGGGCTACCGAATAATATGCACAAATGCCCATTTATATACATACATTTCTACCCCTAAGGGAATCAATTGATTTTCGTAGCCAATGATATACATTTTCATTTAGGTCATTTTTGATTGTCATTGAGTGACCTCGTTTGTAAATTTCTAACTGCCTCACTATACCAAATAAAACTGAATATTTATGCGTAACTCTGTTATAATAGTGATTGGAATTACTTCCATTTTAATACTAGAAACACTAAGTAGATGGCAAGACAATAATTTATGGATAAACTACTCATATCTTAAACTGCGATTCCTTGATCTTCGTGCGGAATTCATTCATATGGTTAAACATCTTGGTATTATAAAAAAAAAAATGCCAGTTCGTGATGAAAACCCTTACTCGAATTCCTAATCTTAGCCCATAACTCTAACTTCTAGTCTCAATTCTTCATACTAATTTATAAAAATCATTTAGATCGCAGTACGTGGTTGAAATTCTGCAAGGACACTTTAGTATCGTTCAAAAGTTTTTCATAAATTATAATCTCTATTAAGTATAGACGAATTAAACAGACGGTAAATTTACAATAATACAAAGATAGTAAATCAAAAAAGAAGACTAACCACAAATAAAATAAAATCACTTCATGTTAGTGTATTATATACACATATGATCTGTTGCTGGTTAACGTATCGAAAAAAAGAATTCACACAACAGATACAATTTACAGATAATTATACTATAATTATTTTATTTCTTGTTAAAGAGAAATAAAATCTTTAAAACAATAACCATTTATGAATATGAAAACTTACTGAACCAGTTGAATCTTGAAGTGCAATCAAACTACTGTAAGGATTCCAAACAGATACTGGAGTGATTAAATGCAAAATTGCACTAACATCATGACGAACGCGTTTAGCAGAAGAGACTTGTGAAGGTTCAGATGCGAAGCAAAGAAAAATCTACAATGAATTATTTGAAGAAAGATGGCAATTTCAAATTAATTAAGAGTACACTCTGTATGACTATATTACTAGGAATTTTATGTTTAAAAGAGATTTATCCTATGTTTCATTTATTCTTATTATAGTTTAAAACTCATTTATATTCTTTGTATACTTAAGAGTTAGTGATTATCATGTTTATTTTTGTCTGAATGTAAACAATTACTTAACAATCACACTTGTCATCTATAAACTAATTTTTACTTTATCTTCTTAACACCTGAAATTACCGCACACTTTTATTGACAAGACAACAAATTTTCCAAGAGAATATCATTCAAGTATGGTGAATTTTATTTATTTATTTAAACATATAAACATGAGTATAAGGAGGCACCAAATATATGCGCCACACAAATGAATCGACTTTTGTGAGGGTCAGAACACTGCCCGGGTGCCCAAGTCGAAACAGTTCTATGATAGTCGGTAACGAACAATAAATTTGTACGCCATTTGTCCCGTCAGGATACTGGAGCCCATGTGCATCATTGGTTTGAAATCAGGATTTCCCAACTACCCTAGATGGACCCTCCATACCCACCAACCCGGTTAAAGCGCCGAACATTCGATTTTCGTCCTCTCAATTTTGTAAACATATGCCCGCCGCTAGAAGGCAGTGAGTAGGAATTCCCTGGAAGTGGCTGTATACGTGTGGCCATGTGAGAGCATTTCGAAAGAGAGAGCGGACTTTCCCCAACCCGGCCATACCGGGGTATTTGAAGGCGTATGGTGAATGCCGCATAAAGTTAGAAGTCTTAAAATTAGTTAAATTAGTCATCGAAAAAAAAAACACTTTATATATATGCTCACTCATCGATCTACCAAGATCGTACAACCAAACAACAACAAATTTGATTCACTAGTAAGAATACGCATTTAAAGACGGCTCAGACTTCTTTTTGAATGACACTTTACATAGACAAACAGAGTGATACATTAGACATCCATTAAAATCTTGGCAACAAACAAATAACAAAGACGCAAAAACATCTGAGACTCCCAACTTCAGATAACAGTTTATGTGGATTAGAAATTTTCTCGATCAATCATAATGAACTGGTTCGCTTGTATGACTTACTACAATCTTGTGACGGCTTACAGCTTTCGGTAGTAGTAGTAGTAGCAGTAGTAAACTGAACGTTCATGAGAGAAAACGACTCAGACCCCGAAACGAATTTAACTAAATTCGATCTGGTGCTGTAAAGTTTGAAATTGGAATGGAAAAATACGTGCCCTATGGTTCTATCGATGACTGTGTGAAATCACCTGGCCAAAATATTACTGAACATAGAAAAACAGTGAAGTGTTTATGGGACGGATAACAAAAGAAGTATTCGATTAACGAATAAGTATCCGGCGGCAATCTGAGGTTATGTTACTACAAACCAATGAAGTCTATTTAATGATTTAAAATATCAGTAGTTGAGATCATGAGTCAATTGAAGCTAGACCAACATAGAAAACCTGGAAGCACTGCACAGCAGTTTCGTCAAATAGTGGGACTCCTCAGCAATGCATATCCACGACCCCACCCCGTGAGATTAGGACCCAGGACCTATTGGTTTCGGGCGCGGACGCTAAAACTCTAGACCACTGAGCCAGTATCCAACGGTGTTAATGTCTAAATTCAACTAATCCGTTCGGTGCTTCCAGGTCTCCCGTAGTGGTCTAGCTTAAATTGACTCATAATCTCAATCATTAAAATTACTATAATATCCACAAGAACCCCATCTGATACTAATCTAAAATATGTTAATTATGAAATCTCCATAAATCCTCTATACAGACAATAATCATCTGCTCACTAGTGACTAGTTTCAAGATGCAACCCCTGGAGTTCTAATGAGAAGACGTGACTGGTGAAGTTTGACTATGTCGGGTGTGAGACAGGTGGCATCCATATAAATAATGGATAAGGGTTGAGTAGTATAGTGAAGTGATTGAATTTACATGATTGGGTCCCGGCTCAGTGGTTTGGAGATTAAGCGTTCGTGTGTAGGACTAATGTTTCTGGGTTCGATTCCTAGTGAAGAGGTCGTGGACGCACACTACTGAGGAATCCCATACAACGAAGAAACGGTTGTCCAGTGCTTCTAGATTTTTACTGATCTGGCCAAAATCAATCTATGGCTTAAACTAAGAAAATACCTTTCTCCGTTTGTAATTAGCTAATAATAAACTGTAAGAAAAAAGTAGAAAATGATGAAAAAACTAATCAAAACTTTTAAAAATAATTGAAATATCAGTAACAATGAGAAAACAAAACCGAGAACAATTATACATTAACTTACTTGTAAATCTGTGTGTGGTTGCAAGGTTTGAGATTTATGAAATGTATACAGTTTTACGTAATCCGATGAACCTTCATGAGTTGGTCCGGCGTACAGATGCCAATTACTTAAATCAATAGCCTGATAAATTGAAAACAAGCATGAGAAAAGTGCAACAAATTTAAATAAGTGTAATAATGATAAAATTCTTATATTCTAATATATTACATTATCAAATGACTGAATACAGAATATAAGAATCTATTTTCTGTATATTAAAATATACTCACATTTTCACTAGCATTGTAAATACGTAGTAAACCCTCTCCAGGATCTGCGCTAGAGAAATGTACTGGACCATCAGCACGACATGTTATCCGTAAAGAATTTCCAATTAAACTTGATGATGATGATGAAGGAGATGTAGATAAGCCAAAACTACGTAAATTGAAGTCGATGTTGATTATTTTTGAGTGTGGATCTGAAATTTCTGGTATTTTACGTTCAGTTGTCAAAGGATAGGATTGCATCATGTTATTAGTATCTGTATGATCTAAATCAACATCATGAAGACAACTTCCAGTTGATTGTTGTTTTGATGTTAATAAAGATGTACACATGTCACTATATGTACGTTTGGTAGGAGTTATATTTGTTCGAACAATTGGTTTACCTTTTAGGATCTTTTCCGTAGGAGACAGATGAAGGCTAAGAAAATAGAACAAAAATTCAAACCTTGATTTTTATTTACTGAAATAAAGAATTAAAAACATGGGATATTTGACGTAGTGATGATCTTTGTGTATCTGACACTACTAACATAACATATATTATAGACTGAAATAAGAAGCTTAAGATTGTTAACTTCCAACAACTTGTTTATTTAAACACATAAATATTGGTACAAAGGGGCGCCGAACACATATGCGCCACACAAGTCACTTGATTTGTGTGTGAGTTGTGATACATCCCGGGTGCTCGGACCGAAGCGGGTGGTTTTCTTAGAGGGTCACACCCGGAGCCTTCGACCTGAAGGTCTAATCCACAAGGCAGTGGGGCAACGTCAGGTCAATCACTGATAGTTTCTATCTGTACAAGAGATATTTAGATGTATAGATTATTTGGCCCCCAAATGCCCTGGTACAGCCGAGAGTGGGGAGAGTCCGCTCTCCCTCTTGAAATGCTCTCACATGGCCACGTGAATACAACCACTGTCAGGGAATTCCTAATTACTACATTCTCGTGGCAGGTATCTTGTTTACAAAATTGAGAGGACGAAACGCTAATATCCGGCGGTTTAACCGGGTTGGTGGTTATAAAAAATCCATATAGGGGAGTTGGGTACCAGGATCCTGACAGAACAAATGGCGTGTGAACCTATTGTTGGTCTCTGGAAACCACAGGACTGAATCTCCTGACATTGCTTCACTGCCTTGTGGATCAGACGTTCAGGTCGAAGGCTCCGGGTGTGGTTCCCTAAGAAAACCACCTGCTTCGGTTTGGGCAACCGGACAGTATCCCAGCCCTCACACAAATCGAATGATTTACGTGGCGCATATATATTTGGTACCTCCTTGTACCCATGTTTGTGTTTAAATAAATAGATTATTTAGCAAAAATATCAACTGCAGTGACATCCAGGACAAGTTCAATAGGTGCGATCAATCAATTAATTTCCAAATGGAATGGATTCGGAATTTATATTCTTACGTGCATTTTTTAGAAAATAAACCTGGTGGTTCTCTAAAAAGATCGATAAATGGACAAACAACCTGGAATGGACAGTACAAGGATTTTCAAAGTTGAGAAAGAAGAGAAACCTGATCCATTCCATAAGGAAAAAGGCTACACGTATTTTTACAGATAATACAATTGATATTAAACTTGATATACTACAACAATAGATATCTACATAGATTCATTTAAAATAATCTGAAGCCAAAATAATAACAAGAAAGAGTGTCTTTAGTACAAAAGATCTTCTTTATGAGCATTCAGTTTAAAGAAGATAGAGGTAGAAATTCTAAAAAGCAAACTTTCGAGATCTCTGAGAACATTCTGTTCAGGTGAAACTTGTATTCTCTTCTCTAATTGGGCTTTGATTCAGAGTTTTGTGCAGAACAAGCTTTCGCTTTGGGCCAATGTACATCTATCAATTAACTCGCTCATGTGGAGCAGGTTGAATTGACCACATAAAACGAGCTCTTACGAAGCACATCTCTCTGGATATCTAAAACACAACAGAATTCAGGCAAAATCTAAAGCTTGGAACATTAAGTTATTTCTGGTTACTTTGCTTCACCATAATCTTCCTTAAAATTATTGGTACAGTAAGAAAAATCAATTCGAAACGAATACAAACGAAAAATCTATATACATCAGAGTCTATAGCTATCCACCAATTCAAGCCTTACTCTTATGCACAAAAACAGTATGTTCGATCCATCAGACCACCTTATTTTCCATCTTCCATTATCTACTGGGTTTTCTTAATTCCTTTTCAATTATTCTGCACAACTATTATTTAGCCATTAATGATTCTGTTTCCAATATTTATCAAGTGGACAATTATCTTCATATGGACATTTTTCTATTAAATACTGTATTATTACATAACTTCCTTTCAATATCCGACTTTGTAAGTGATTTATATGACATGGCATGATTTACATAACATTTTTTCCCTATTACTCAACATCATTCTATTTTATTATAGACTACTATTTTTGGTAAACGGATTGAGCAAAAATACAATTGTCTAGTTGAAATGAAATCGTCGAGAAAATAATTTACGTGAGATTGTCTTTGTTTTGATCTGTAACAGTGTGATACCATTGATATCTTTAAAAAATTAACTTTCAATTACTCACTTATGATCATCATCCACTGATTCTTAACATTACAATTAACCTACAGTAGAATATTCTTAGCACTTTTCTAAATATAATTCTACTATAAACAGAAATATACATTTCAGTAGGTAAAATAAATGTTCCTATAACCAGGTGATATAAACAACTCTCATATAAGCCTGTAAGTTGTCGATGAGTATGATTGATAAAGTAAACACATTTTAAGTTTACTGTTAATCACTATAAGTTGTTATACGAATAACAGTGATATACTTTAGTCACAATTGATAGATTATATAATAACTTCAAATACATTTAAAGCAATCTCATTACTTTTATTCTCAATTCTATAAAAGACAAAAATCACAGTTGATTACGAATTATTATTTTAAACAGATATGTTATAATTTGGAATGATACTTGTATTGAATGGTAGAAACTAATGAAATATTCAGTAGTGTTTCAGATTTATGAACATTTAATTCACAAATTCGTCTCTCTTAAAGTAAGTCGAGATTTTGATCTACTTCTTTGAATATTTTATAAACCAGACCCATAAGGATGGATTAAGGAAAGGCATTACATAAAATAGTGAAGATTCGGGTTGGATAGTGATAATGTAACTTGCTTACAAATAGGCCCTTTTAGATGCTCAAATTTCAGTCAAACTTATTGTATATATGTTAATGTCAGTACTACTCAGAGTGGAGTGGGATTCAAATCTGGAACGTTATGTTTACTAGTCGAGCGTATTAATTACTAATCCACTACTTTAATCGAGTTACCAACAAGATATATTACAGTAATAATTCCATAAATGATATGACGGAATTAACCTGTACTGATATATAACTTTAGTGATCACCTTACAGTAGACAATATTGATATTCTCTAAACTAAGAATAGATTTAGGTCAATAATTTTAACTAAAAAATACATGTAATGAAGATTATTTAGAATAAACTTTAAAAAGAAAAAAAGATTAACTTACCGAGATTCTTCACCTTCTAACAATTTTCTATACATTGCAAGTTCAGCATCTAATTGAATTTTTATTCCAGCTAATTCAGTACATTCACTTGACTTATCCGTTAATAGTTCTAATAAACGTTCTACTTCTGAACGATGTTGACAAATTATTCCATGTAATTTATCTTCATTAAATTTTAATTGTTGTTCAAAATCTTTAAGTTGTTTACGAGTAGCTTCTAATTCATGACGACAATTATATAAGTCACTTGACTGTGATGATACTAACTGAGATAAACGTTGACATTCGGTTATTTTATTTTTAAGATCTTGTTCAAGTGAATTTGATCGTAATTTTTCTGCATCTAAAGTTGACTTATAGTAACCAAATGAAGAAATAATATATCAAAAGAATATTTTTAAAAAAAACGTTACTCTTTTTATTGTTTAAAAGAAATGTTTAGCTTAGAGTTAGTGAATTGTTTTTACCAGATTTAACTGCTTTTGAATAACTAACTGCTTACAAAGAATGAAAATTAAAGTATTATACATATATGACCTAGAGATCCACTAATTAATGTATCAGAACATAGATTCCCCCTTTTAAGAACCATATAATTACGTAACATTAATAATACATTAGCTTGTACTTACTGAGAGCAAAATATATTAATTATTAGCTAGTAGAATATTTGACAATGATAATAAAAATTTAATAACTAAGATCAGATATTTTGACTTTGATATGAGCTACACAGTATCTAAATACCCTGATTAAAGTACGCAGAATGGATTCGAATGGATAACACACAATAGTTAGAAGTGGATCAAACGAATGAATATGCCATAGAGTACTACTAAGAGCTCGGGAAAAAGAAGTATGCACAAAACTACTCAAACATATTATTAATATGATAGAGAAGATTTATAGCTCAATTGGGACGCTTTAGGTGGTGTCGTTGAGTTGTCTGAGTTAAATGGTCTAATTGCAAATTTTTTGTTGTTATTCTGAACATCTTTAGAGTCTAGTTCATGAAAATCTTTGGGCACTGAAGAAGTTGTTCAAAATGATAACGAAAGCTTAATGATCAAACCATCTAGCTTAGAGAAGTTAACAGAAACATCAAAAGATTATTACCGCTTACTTTCAAACCCTCTTTTATTTTATCTTTTGCTTGATCATATTGTATTGTCATTTGTGAACGTATTTCAGATAATAAATGACATAGTTTATCATGAGAATTTGCTTCGACACTTTTGATTAAAGACGTTAAATGCGATTGAATTGACTCGCTATTCCAGATATTACGTTCCTGAAAATTGGAAATAAGGTAATAATAATTATATCAACAAACTATGCAGCATTAGTTACACAATTATCATTTAGATGTATGTAAATGTAGTGAAGTGGATTATAGTACATAAACAGCTTTTGATGTAACTATGTTTTTCACTAATATTCATTAATTTAGTAACTGAATTCATGAGTCAATTAAAGCTAGGCCACTATGGGAAACCTGAAATCACTGGACGACCGTTTCATTCTAGTATGGGATTGCTCAGCAGTGCGCACCCATGATCCCGCCCCGCGAGATTCGAACCCAGGACCTATCAGTCTCGCGTGCGAACGCTTAACCTTTAGACCACCGAGCCGACATTTAACAGTTTTAATGTTAATATTCATTATTTATGACATCAACAACATATTAATTTAATTTTTTTATTGACTTTTATTCATACTCAACGACTAACTACGTTTCCATGTATGTCACTTTGAATCACATTTTTTGGGCTAGCGATACTACCTAGGCGTTCGAATTAAAACTGGTAGAGGATGGTTGGAACTGTAGCTCAATATTTAGAAGTTGAAACCTTTAACCAGAAAGGCAGCAACTTTATATTGACCTAATGAGGGTTGAATATTCAAGGTAGTAATAAATTCTAAAGAACCAGGTGTCTAATAAAATTTACTCAGTATGAGAAACCCAATACTTGAATTATTTTTTCATCCAAAAAACATGAAATAATCAAGATACTATAATAATGAACATCCATACAGGACCTGTCAGCACGCTTTACTGATGGACGAATAGAATGGGAACTAATAAACATAAGAGTGGAGGTGAGAATATGGCATAACTGTTAAATAATGCAGAAAAAGAAGCGCAAGTACTATTGTTTCTAGAATCTTTCTCTCTGGTTTGTACCTTAACTTCTAACCAGGACTTGTGTAACCATATTTCCGTATTTGTCAATCTCCTTTGATAAAACCTTTATTATTTAACATTGGATAAGATTTGCCTCTGTTGTTTAATTTTTTAATTGTATGGTACCGAACAATCGAAAATAAGGTTTTACTAAACTCAAGGTTATGTTGTGGTATAAATGAGCAGTCTTGGTCTTTGACTGTCTGTTGAGTTTATTATTTTATTGAATCCTTGAACATAGGAATCCGACTGCATTAGGTAGCGAATATTCCCATTGATTCTTAGGTAGTTAACAGTTGTATTTGACTAACTAATTTTCGCTGTATATTACGTTACCGGAGAAACTTTTGACTGTATAAGGGGAGAAGTATTGCTGATGTATTTTTTATTTTTTTAACAGAATGTTTTAGTATCAGAACGGCATAAATTACGCAAAACGTTTTGTACATTGAGATGTAAAGTGGTGGTTGGAGGTAGTCGAAAAAAAACCTGGACCAAGATATGTTAACCTAAAGTTTAGACGATTATAAAATACTATCGTATATTCAACTCCATAGTATAACGTGGTCACAACACTGAAATGTGTTAAATGTTCTTATTAACAGCATATCATGCTATTGCTGATTCGATTTATAGATTTTTCAGTTCTATGGGATTATATGGGGATCATTTTGTGTAGTTTAGATGTTCCTTTGGAGAAGTCATGTTTTCACGAGACGACTCTCCATAATAGAAAACATCACAAACGACATATTTTAATCTGTAGACAATTCTGTGTTGAAGTGAAAGGGATTCTTTCTTTGATGCGAACTAAAGTATTTCGATGAATGATAGTTACTTTACAGGAAGATTTAATTCTGTGTTAAGGATTTTTTGTGGTCCACCATTTATTTGAAATTACCGAGTAAAATCTCCGCAGTAATGCTTACAAACTCATTAATAATCAGGTTTAGTTATTCTGTTTGACAAGATATACTTCTTTGGTACTCTTCCTGTTGAGAAAAATAAATAGACCGTAGCTAGTGCTTGCTTTCAATATATAAAAATGTTATATCCTAATGAAGAATAAATGAATGGTAACTGTTAGAAATTATTTATGGACTATTATTACATATAGTCCTATTGGATACCTATTAAATAACAAGATTATATGTATATAATCTATAAACTATACATATATATGTATATGCCCCCAAATGCCCTGGTACGGCCGAGAGTGGGGAGAATCCGCTCTCCCTCTCGAAATGCTCTCACATGGCCACGCGTATATAGCCTCTGCCAGGGAAGTCCTACTCACTACATTCTCGTGGCGGGGGTGTTGTTTACGAAAATGAGAGGACGAAAAGCGAATGGCCGGTGCTTTAACCGGATCCCAAACCAATCGTGTACATGGGCTCCAGTATCCTGAGGTAACAAATGGCGTGTGAACCAACTGTTGGTCACCGGATACCATGGGACTGCATCTCCTTACGATGCTCCACTGCCTTGTGGATCAGACCTTCAGGTCGAAGGCTCCGGGTGTGGTTCCCTAAGAAAACCACCTGCTTCGGTTTGGGCAACCTGGTAGTATCACAGCCCTCACACATATCAAGTGAGATCTGTGTGGCGCATATGTATTTGGTGCCTTCTTGTACCAATATCTATGTGTTAAAATAAATAAACAATTAATTATATGTATATTCATATTCCTTTTGTTATAAGCTTCCATTTGACTTATTGGCCACTGTTATACGACTTATCATTGTTAACTTTAAATTTATCAGTTACAATATCCCACATTCACAGCCACTTTTGGCTTGATCTTGTATAATTATTACTTTTCATGTTAAGGTGTAATGCGGTCTGATCTGCTTGTGTATAAACCAAGTATGTCTGAAATATACGATTCATATTTCAGAGGCTGATATTTGTATTTTGGACTGGACCGACTGGGTTAGGCAAGAAACCACTGTAAAGAGGACCCATGAGAACTCAGAATTGATTCAAGGCTGCTCGTGCTGATTAAAGCGCCATTAGTTTAGCATAGGGACAAGGTCATATAAGTCGGTGTTCTAATTGGTGACCTAGTTACGTGTGATTTGATGGGCTTAAGGCATAACAGAAAACGTATTTCAACATGGTCCAACAAGAGTTAGAGGTATGAGACTAGGAATTTTATCCTTGAACATTTGGTCGACTATGATTACTCAACAAACCCACATGTTGATTTTAAGGTTATTTATAAAATCCATCCAAATCTAGCAAGATTTCTTCATATCCAACCATTAAAAATAGCAGAAGTACTCGATATTTGGTTTGATGTTGAGACATGTGCCTACCAGAAATCAGATTCTAAAAAATAATCAACGTATAAACCGTTTGAAGATTTTACAGAAGTATATACATAATAGCATAGAGACCTGTACACGCCATTGTGAAATTCTTCCCGTGAAACTGTGAAAAATCCTAACTTTAGTAGCATAAACACTTTTACACAAGTGGAGCAGTGGCTTAATGCTTAGGCAGTTTAACTTCTGATCACTAAGTCCAGGTTCTAATCCCCCTTAAACTACTTCAGTTTGGGCAACCAGGTAGTATTATTATTATTAGCCCTTACATTTATTATGGCTCATACCTAAGTACCTGGTCAATGAATTAATTTGATTACCTAATTAATTTGTCCACAAGATGAAATAATAAAGGCAATAATGAATAAGCTAACTGGTTTTGTTGAAAGTACAATAGACTCCTTACACTATTTTGTGTTGGCACAGAGAACTATTACTCGATATTAACCTATGAAGATGTTAGTTGAATACATAAAAAAACTGAACTTACTTTCTCCAATAGTTGATTTTTAAACTCTAATTGTTCTAAAGCTGTAAGTAGCTTATTTTTGGTATCAGTATGCAACAGAGTTTCATTTTCCAACTGAGATTTTAACATTTTATGTTGATCCATCAATGAATCATAATCTGTTTTGTAATTCTATTGTCAACAAAAGCACATAAGTGGATAGTATAATAATAGTATGACTTAGATAAAAAAAATTTCTCGGAAAAACAATCCATGCATGGACTAAATCAACTCGTAAAGTAGGCGAAAGCTCCGTGAATAAAATTGTATTCAGTTTATGGAGAGGCTGACGGGTCAAATAAATTCTGTATCACCTACTTCACTTAGCAGGACAAGGGGAGTTAACTGACAGTCTTGAGAACAGACTAGTAACCATACTTCAGTTTAATTCTACAACACAAGCATACAATATACTTTTCCTCTAACATTACCATCAGACGAATTACGGACGTGAGAAATGAGTGTTTACGAATTGTGCAAGTAGAAATTTCTAAAAATTAATTCCAAAAGAACCAACCAGAGTGACTGAACAACGTTTTTTGAGGTTATTTTATTCTCCAGGAACCCAAAAATAAGTAACAGATATTTTTTAAACCCATAATTGATACAAAATGTGGAATTGATATATTATTTCTCACAAATAAGCTCGAAGCTATTTCATCACTTTTGCGGACACTTTGTAAGAAGTAAAAATAAAATTGAGTATATATATTCGTGTAGATCACCCACATTTGTATTGCGGGGATTATAGAAGTAGGAGAACCTTCTAACGCTATTTGGTTATGGACACATCTAAGTGAAACTGACAATATCGATTATTCTAGTTGCCGAAAGTTAATGTATACATTTTTTTTCAATAACGTTTATCCTTTATGGCTTCCTCGTTTAAAGATTAAATTGAGTACAAATTGTGAATAAACCATAAATCAGGCATCTATTTTTTAAATGTGAAATGATCTATTATTTTAGGTTAACTTACGAATATGGTTGTTTCATGCAAGAACTACACGTTATTAGACAGTTCATTGAACTTATTAGTTCGGTAGAAATATCTTTAAGCTTTCGAATCGTAGTACCTCACGCATGGGTTACAGTTTGAATCTACTTTGAAAACACAGCTATTAGTGTAAAAATATATAAGTCAGTATATATATATATATATATATATATATCATCCGTTTAACTTACGTTACATACGTCCAGTTGAGTTTGTAACTGAGATAGTTGAACAGTTAATGATGCAATTTTATTACCCATTTCAGTCTCATTGGCTTTTGAACGCTCAAGTTGTTTAATTGTTTCGTCTAGATCAGATGTAGCTTTTTTCAACTGAATTTTAGCATTAGTTAATTCAAGTGAAGTTTTATTCAAATTTCGGCGCAATAATTCAACTTCGTTTGAAAAAACTTTTACATAGTCATCCATTTCATTCTGTACACAATTATGTGAAGTATGAAGGTTAATTAAAGCAATAAGTACCATATGAATTTAAAGATAAATTAAGCTATAAATAAAGACCAGAATTTATATCCAACCAAAGATGTTTGACTGTCGACAAGAGAGGACGTTAAGTAATTTGAAAGCTATTTTCCGGTAGTAATATCTTTTATTGTAGGCTAATTGTAACCGGAGTGTAATAAAAATCACAAGGAAACTATCACAATTGGTTTAAGTCCATCAGAGCACATGCAGCTCATCAGTTTATTAGCAGCTAACTATTAAGTATTTGGAATAATTGAGGACAGAAAATTGCATCCAAATAATGATTAAATACGTAGCTGCGAAATAGAATTAGATCTTATGTTGTTAGAATCTATCAACAAAAAATAGATCCTAAATTTAGGTTTGCTGAGGACAATAAAAGAATTCATCAAATTTCATTCACTAATTGCCTGATTTTTCAAACTATATGAATATATAATTTATTTTAATGCACGTATATAAAACATATCAGGGTACTGCTTTTAGTTGTGCTTGTTTTTTAGACTTTAATAAAATGTTTATTCGACTACCAATATGAACAAAGGAATATTTAGGAAAAGATATCTCCTGAGTCAGCAAAATTCACAATCGCATTATCCAAACGTTTATGGTATCCAAAAAAATCCGGAAATAATATTCTTATTACATTTACCAACCAGTAATTATCACTCATATGCCTCATATGAGTACTTAAGCTTGGGTAAATGGGTATTATTATTAGCCCCCATACCCAAGTACCCAGTGAATGAATAAATCAAAATTAAATTCGTACGCCCTTTTCGGGGATGAAATCACATTTGTTGATAAAATGGCGTACATATTACGCTTTAAGTTTTATTCTCTAAAACTAATAGACTGCCTTAAAAACTGTAATAAGGAAGTAACTCAGAAAGTATCATGAGTGAATTAGATAAAAGTTACGGATACCAGAAATTATGCAAGGAATTTAACGACTGTGTGACTAAAATCAGGAAAGTTTACGGAAAACTACTCCTTGTCAGTTAAAAAAAACGGATAAATGCTTGCTCACTAGAATTTGAAAAACTGTGGATTGTGAAATACATGATCAGCAAAGAAAACTGATGCTTTTTAATATGTAATTTTGATCAGATCGCTAGTTTCCGAGTAAAGAGAAATTAAATAGATTAACGAATATCCTAAGTTCGCATACTGAGATCTAGTTGCTAAGTCCTCACATTATTTAACATTGTATGCTATACAAAATATATCATCCCCCATCTTTTTTTAATATTTTTCTAAATATGAAGGACTTACTTTTAAAGAATTTGTTAAAAGGTCAATATGACCACTGAACTCTTTATTGAAGATGTTTTTATGAAGATGTTCGATATAATTTGCGAAACGATCATTTAAATGCTGAAGTTCTTCTTTTTCTTCCAGTCGACTGATCACTAAGGAGTCAAAAGATGAAGACCTTGGGGATTTCATTTCTTCACTTGACTCTGATGACTCGCCTTCTGGTACTGGGCGTTTCGGTAGAGCTTTACGTGCTTTACCAACTGACAAGAGGGAAACAACACAATACTAAAATACAATTCAAGGTTTGATGAAAAACGGTTACATAAATCTGTACGTATTTAAGGGTTTTTCTATTTTATTGGTATCGGACATTAAAATAAAACATTAACCTACATCCTTAAAACCTGAACACCTCATTTAGATAAAATACCACTAAATACATGAACCATGTGGGAAGAAACAGCCAACCACCTTATCCCGACGAGAGTATCTGCGTTTACTAAGACGAACTACTGGATATGGGGTGTCATGATTTAGTTTTATACATAGTGACCAGGTAGCTACTATTTCCACTTCGTTAAAAAATAAATACGACCTTGTGCCGCATAATATTCATAATATACTACTCGCTTAGGTGTACGATCAATGGAATAACTTAAAAGACTAAAACTTACAGAGGATACAACAAAATTATCCTAACCTGTTAGCTAGCTAGCTAGCAGGAGGTTCGAGTCTCTGACAATCTTTTCCTGACCATTACAAAATAATTAATCTACAAATAGCTGCGAAATCAAACGTCTCCTTCCTATCATTTTAGGGATATCAACTTAATAAAGAAACTCACCAGTTTTTGTGTTCGACATATTCCTTACAATTTTAACGACTGGTGGCGCAGATTTCAAACTGTAGCCAAACGCATCTCTTTCAATATATTTTTAACAAGCTCGTACAAACAAATTGTCTTTTCGTGTTTAAGTTTTGATGATTTGCGACGCTTACGAGACGTTATCAATATGTCATGTCTATTTTCTTTGAATTGCTATCCATACCGTTCGTATTTGTAAATGGGTGGTGAACTTGGGAACATTGCATCTGTGATATGCAGTCAAGTTTCTATTTTATATATGGATAGTTTAGCAATTAAAATTCACGAGGTCCTGAGAGAAAAACAGATTTTTAAAATACTAATTTTGCACCTGGAGTACTTCACGAAAAACAACAGAAGTCAGCTTGCTATTACTGAAGACATCAACAACTCTATTTTTCTCAGTCACTCGTTCTTGCGCAGCTTATCACTTCGACTGGCTAACAAGCTACTGTCGCCTATATATATTTCAGATTGCATACCATGCAAGTCCTTTAAAAGATAAACTACTCTGAGATGAGAATTCTATCAAACCATGCTAAGTACGGGTCGAAGAATATCACAAAAACAGCATTGCGTAGTACTTTATCTAATATGGAGCAGGAGGTTGAGGTTTCAATGGTCAATCCACGGTTCAACTATTACTAACTTTACTTACAACACAGTAATTGAATAACTCAGTCTAGTTTAAACACTTAATGTAATTTTAAGCTAGGCACTTCCCACCCATTGATCTTATGTCACTTTACGTATAGAACTGTTTAATTTTCTAGGAGACGATACTGAAATAAACCGAAAATTGTCATCAGAAACTCGGAAATCTGAATTAAAACTGATAAAATCAGTGATGGAACGACTTTCTGCAAGTCCTTCACTCTTCAAAATCAACCATCTTGAGATGGAATCATCACAATATTTGCAATATTTGAACTAAGAATCCCAGGGATAACGCAATCGAATCAAGAAGTACTATACAAGCACTAACGAATGTACTGTATTTAGAATTCGAAATCAAACATTTAACAAGTACAAAGCAATCATTAGTTTATTCAAACACCACATCCGCCACAGCTTAAATTAGAGTCTAAGTGTCTGTAATCAATTGTACGTCTTCTCCTCAAGTTTATGCTGTGTCTGTCCGACAATGTATTGGATAAAGACTCTGTATTATCTAGAATGCACTCATTAGTATTAGAATTAACAACTGAAATCGGAACAGACTCACCTGGTTGCTGGAATTGTATTTGATCAACATGTCGATTGTGTGTACTTAAGTCATTGATATCTAGAAGTCGCACCATAGATTTCCCGACATTCTTCAGAACAATCCCCTTGGATGGTCGAAGATCATTGCCACGATAATACGTAACTTCTGCAGACTCCAAACATCTCATATTCGACCGAAGAGTTCTTCCTTTTAATAGTTTTGATGGAGTCTCCTTCGTCACCGAATATCTGGCATTTCTATATTGCAGTAGAAAGGTATCTACTACCCTCTCCAGCTCATTAAATGTTGAGGCAGCAATAGAATCAATAGCAGTTTTCAACGTCCTGACAAAATTTTCTGCCTGACCATTGGAACAAGGATGTCTGGGAGCAGTAAACATATGTTTGCACCCTATACCATTTAACCAGGTAGTGACTGCATCTGAAGTAAAATGAGAGCCGTTATCAGTCACTAACACCATTGGAACCCCTTCTCGACTAAACACGTTTCTTAATGCTTGAATTGTGAAGTCAGAATTTGGTGAAGTTGTGAAGAAAACTTCAGGCCACTTTGAAAAAGAATCAATAACTACAAGCGCATAGTATTTGCCAAGAAACGGACCACAATAGTCTGCATGAATTCTCTGCCAGGCCTCAGACGATACTGGCCATGGAGTCCACTTCGAATGCTGATTTTTCAGCTTATGACACTTTTCACAATTGTTTGCTGTACGACATATATCTGCATTTATCTCTGGCCACCAACACGTGAGCCTCGCCAATGACTTCATTTTCTCAACACCTAAATGTCCACTATGAAGATCTTCTAGGACAGATTTACGCAATGAAGGAGGAATAACAACACGATCATTTAAACACAAAATACCGTCAGGAGTAGTGGATAGCTCATCCCGCTTTGGAAAATAGACAGGAAATCTGCGTTTCAGATTAGCATTTCAGCCTTTCCGTATAGCACTGAGTATACATCCAAAGTATCTACGAGTTTCTCTAATGAGATCTTGACGTCTCACTGGTAAAGGTTGCACCAACAAACAGTCTGAAGTATTAACAGGTCTATCTTGTAATGGTTGTCCAGAAATGTAGTCAAAGTGTTGAATTTGTTTGGCACTCCTGTGCTGAACCGTATAGTCATAGGCACTCAAAGCAATACTCCATCGTTGAACCATAGCAGCTGAGGAACGTGCTAAGGATTTTTCAGGATGATAAATAAACTTTAAAGCCTCATGATCAGTAACAATAGTGAATTTCTTTCCGAATAAATATTTATGGAGTCTTTTAACAGCCCAAAACACAGCTAATGCTTCTCGCTGAGTCTGTGAATATCCTTGTTCAGTAACAGTAAGTTTGCGTGAAACACAAATAACTGGTCTACCTTCCTGTTCCAAAACTGCGCCAATACCCACAGGTGATGCATCAGTGATAAGCACAGACTGTACACTAGGGGAGTAAGTTCGAATAACAGCATCACTTTGAAGAAATTTTAGTAGACTTCGTAAGCATGACTCTTGTTCCTCACCCCATTTAAATGAATTGGATGTCAAAATATTAAATAAACAATTTGCACGACAAGAAAAATTAGGAATAAGACCGGAATAGTATTGAAGAGCACCCACCAGTGAACGTAGTTCCGTAAGACTTTCTGGAGACGGTGCATTTGTCAGTGGAGCTAGTCGTTTCATATCTGGTCTAAAACCATTACCATCAACTAGGTATCCAAGACATTCGAAATTAGATACACAAAATGAACACTTATTTGGAGTCACTGTATTATTCTTCTCAATTAAACGACGCAATAAAGCAATAAGTCTCTGGTAATGAACTACCTTATCAGAACCATGAACAATGAGATCATCTTGATAAACTTCAACGCCCTCAAGGTCACTAACTACATTATTCATGTCTTCCTGAAATATGGCTGGAGAACAACTTAGACCAGATGGAAGGAAATTGTATTTGAACAGACCAAAAGGAGTATTAGTTGTCGTCAAAAGAGATGAAGATTTATCTAAAGGGATTTGGAGATAAGCATCTTTTAGGTCAACTTTCGAGAACACTTTAGAACCATGAAGTCGATTTAGAATATCTTCGGCCTCCACCGTCGTGCACGTTTGCTTCGACAAACGGGAATTCAGTGTTAATCTATAATCACCACATATTCTAGGGGTTTTGCCATCCGACTTCAGTGGCGTAACAATAGGAGTACCCCATGCTGAGGACTGGATCGGTTCAATTATGCCTTTCGCACACAAATCGTTTAATGTTTTATGTACTGCCTCTCGAAGACCATAAGGAATTATTCGTCTTTTAAGAAATACTGGTTCACCCTGTACTTGAAGTTTTATAGGCTGAATCTTCATACCTCCACTGCACTTAGCACACGTGGCTATCAAATCTTTGAGTAAAGCATCATTATTTTCTTTAGAAACTAGGAAAGACAGCTCCACTTTAAGCCTTTTCAAATTCCTTAAGCCCAGTATTGACAGTCCTGTTTCGCTAACTAAAAATTCACAAGGTATGTATGAAGAATTATCATCTCTTATTAGCAACTCACAACATCCTCGTATAGGCAGTCTGTGTCCAGTAATCCCCAATATTGATACCTCAGTGGGTCGTACCACAACATTAGGATCTAAAGATTTCAAGTTCTTGAATGAAATAATAGACTCTATACTGCCTGTGTCCACAATAAAGTCATGACATGAACCAAGCGATGTATATAAACGCTTTTGAATATGAGCATTACCTTTCGAAACAGTAGAAAAAGATAAATGATCATTAGGAACAGCTGAATCACTGGGATCTAAATTACAAGATTTAGTACTACTTGAGGCAAAATGAATAGTAGCTTTGCATACTGATTGAATGTGTCCTATCTTACCACATCTAAAACATTTAGCATTACGAAATGCACATGAATTACGAGAATGAATTTTTCCACATGATAAACATTTGCCAAACTTGGTCTCACCTTTGTGATTCGCTTTGTAATTCCTTGTTGAGATATCTTTCATATTTACACGAGAATAGGAACCACTGTTAAACGAACGCAATTTTGATTGACCCTGAGATTGTATTTCATCATGACAACTAAGCAAAGTATTAGAAATATTCATCGACTGGATATCAAGTTCATTCACTGCCTCGTAGTTAATACACGCAGTTCTAGCATCTTGAAAGGAACAGTTCGGCATTCTGAACAGCTCTCTTTCCAAACCCGGCAAGTTAATTCCTGCAATTAATCGATCTCTCAGTTGCACATGAAGTTGATCACCAAAATTACATTTGGCAGCTTGTTTCTGCAATTCAAGAATGAATTCCTTAACCTTTTGGTCATTTCGACGAGTCATCTTATGAAATTTTGCCCTTTCACGGCATTCAAAACTAATGCACTTTACATGATTTAATAATAACTCCTTAATAGTTGCATAAGGAAGTGAGATAGGTTTTTCTGGATATGCCAAAGTTTTCAATAAGCTTTAGGCTTCTCTTCCGATGAATGTCAAGAAATGTGCCACAATCTTATCATCTTTAACATCCTTCTTGGTCATGCTCCAAATTTCAAACCTTTCCAAATAGTCCTCAAAAGCTTCAGAAGTTGAATGAATATCTAACTGTTCCATCGCAGGCCCCATCGCGACGCCAATATGATAATTAGAAGTATTTGAATTATAGTATGAACTAAGAATCCCAGGGATAACGCAATCGAATCAAGAAGTACTATACAAGCACTAACGAATGTACTGTATTTAGAATTCGAAATCAAACATTTAACAAGTACAAAGCAATCATTAGTTTATTCAAAAACACCACAATGTGTCTATTC